TACTCAGTCCTTGGAATTCAAAAAATCGATCACCAGCAGTACCATACATCTTCTTCCCGGGGTCGCGGGTTGTGACGAGAACGTGACCTCGATTGCCTCGTGGAAAATAATCCGCAAGCTTGAGGTCAGGATCATCAGCATTGTCGATGATAAGAAGCCAAGGAAGACTTAGGTTTGATAGCCAATGGAGTGCAGCATTTTCGTTGAGATCGACTTTTCCAATCTTCGACACATTCTGAGAGAAGGTCTGTTTCAACCGCGACCGGCTGCTACCATCTACCCAAAAGACTCCCCAGAAGCTAGACGTGACCCATCAGCAGCGTTGCATAGATTAGGAACCATGTTAGACTAACTATTGACGATTGTCTTCAGCAAACTTGGAGCAGAACTGGGTCTTCCCCGCGCCTCCAAGCCCATACACAATGAAACGCTTTTGCTCTGCCTTGATGGCTGATGTACCGCGTTGCTTGCGAGAAAGACTTGGTAACATCCAGCTGCGCAAGCGTTTTGCGTAGTCTTCACGACCAGTATAAAATGGATCGACAGGCTTCGGAATATCAAAATGTTCGTTTGTCACCGAGGCGTCGGACGCTGGATTGTGCGCAATGTTATCAATTGCGATACCGAGCTGGTTCACGACTGACACGGACTCCATATTGAAGTCGCGATAGGCTGTTGTGGTAGTCACAGTTTCATACAAGGGTAACGATGTGTGCTGCGCCTGTTGCTCCATTCGACTCTTCAATTCCTGGAAATCAACTACCAGTTTGTCGAGCTGGGCATTCTGATCCTTGCGACTTTCGCGAGTGGACTGCCTGCCTATCGGTCAATGGAAGCAGTTGGGATGACTGGTCCACTTACATGGAAATGAAACCAAGCAACATTTGCAAGGCTCCCTGATATGTATTGATCTGGTCTCGAAGTCCAGAGATCATGCTGTCTTTGCTTCTTTTTTTACGCGCTTTGTCCCAACCATCCAACCTTCCAGTAACTAGCTTATGATCACCGTAGATGGACTGTACCGATTCTTCAAGCTTCTTTGTAAGCTTCTGCCCGTTCTTGAGAGTCTGTCCTGTGCTTGTCCAAAGGCTCCTCTCTTCGTCCCCCATGTCGACATTCGTCATACTCTTGAGATATTCTTTCTCGAGATGACCATGAACCTTCTGAAGACCTTCGACCTCGTTGATCAATCCTTCAATGTCTTCATCCATAGTCTTAGCGGCTGCTTTGATGTCTTTGAGGTAATCGATGAGCCGAAAGGCAACATCACCGATTCCTACACCCGCAGCCACCAATGAGATAGGATCAGCCATATTTCACGCTGTCTCGAGCCAGTTGCCAGGCGACAAATGTTTGCGAGGTTGCTCGTGCGAAGGCTGTGCAGATTTTCGACATAGACCACGTAGTAAAATGTCGTCAGAAAACAGATTCAGAACGTTTGCACTGCATAGACAAGCACTGTGTAAGATGAAGCAGAAGAATGTTTTCTAAGGTGATCAGTCGGCGGCCGTAGGAGCGGTATTGCGCTGATCAAGAAGGCAAAAGGCGGCTGCATTTACAGGCATGCATGCGAGCGAGTGCCTCCATGACCTTGGATCGCTATGCATTCAGCCGGTAACCGTCGAGGGAGGGTCGAGAAACACGGATGTAACATTGGAATAGGCTCAGCAGGCCGAAGGCGCGTCGCGGGCCAACCGTAACCGAGTACGCTAGCGATGGATCAGCCAAAATATTCTGACTGGTCCGTTGATAGGTTCAGCCCCGCAGGTCATGGCCCTCGGCCTGCCACACTTTTTGATCCTGTGTGCTGATTAGGGAAGGCGAAACGACTGTGCCGCCCACTTTAATCTGGGGGCGGAATGCCAACCGTAGAAGTATCTCTTTGATGTCCTCATGCCTGCAGTCTGCAACTACGAGATTCCTTTTTGATTTTGCCATCTTTGGGCTGGAGACGGAATTATAGCTATGATTACCTTGAACATTAACTTTACAGGCAACAAAGCCTCTATGCTCGCAGCCTTACTCTTCATTATTCTTCCCCTTTGGGGATACAGGATCTGGCGTCGCCAGATTCAACGTAAAGTATGCGTGTTCAGGAAGACTTTTGTTGTGCTACTGACATATAAGAGGAAGAAGATCAATATGCGGCGCAAATGGGATGCAAAGCACCACGGAGGTGGGCAGCAAAATGGCCGCAAGGCTTGGATTTGCTCCTCAAAGCAGGGCAACACGCAAGATCCCAGACTATCCTGCAATTTTTCTTGGACGTAGTGGACTCCAGTGGTCCTACTCATGAGCAACAGTTGCGTAGGTTCCACGGGCGCCGTCATGCAATTGACACTGACAAGGAACAGTTGGAAATCGCGGCATTAACACAGTGGAGCCACGCAACATAGAAGAGATTCTTTCGACACAGTTTGAGGGTTCGTAGGCCGTGCTTCCTTGAGATGACGGAAAAGGCTGACTTTCGTGAAAGATTTCAGTCTTGGGCTCCGACCTAAGCATTTTGCCCCATTGATGGGAAGCGGCATCTTCACCCAGGACGGTGCAGCATGGAGACATTCACGTGCTCTTCTGCGACCTCAGTTCACTTCGAATCGCTACCAGAATTTCGAGGAGATGAAGAAGTCGGTCGAAAGCCTCGTCGATCAAATATCTCCCAATAGCGTAGTCGACTTGCAGCCGCTGTTCTTCCGTTTGACTTTTGATACGACAACATTCCTTCTCTTTGGCAAGACTCTGAGCTCTTTGCAAAGCAGCGACATCGCTGGAAAAGAGTCTGAATTTGCGGCGGCTTTCAACTTAGGCCAGGACTACCTATCGCATCGTGGCCGGTTGGGAGACTTGTACTGGCTTGCCAATACTCCAGAGTTCTGGCAGGCTTGTAAGACTTCACACCGCTTTGTTGACGATGCAATTCAGAACGCACTGGATGATGCTGAGAAGCCGAAGCCTAAAGAGACGGAAGACGAGGACACGAAGAATTACGTGTTCATTGATGCTCTTATCCAAGAAACCAGGAACAAGAAGGAACTCCGTGATCAGTGCCTCAATGTCCTCCTTGCGGGAAGGGATACTACCGCGTGCTGCCTCACTTGGACCTTGCGCTTATTGGCTCGTCATCCTCAGGTTTTGGAAAGGTTACGAACAGAGATAGAGGAAGTAGTAGGCCTTGGAGAGCATGCGCCTCAGCCAACTCGGGCGGATCTGAAGAAGATGAGATACCTCGACCTGGTATTGAAAGAAGTACTTCGTCTCTACCCATCGGTGCCGGTTAACTCCCGTGCAGCACTCAAGACAACAACGCTGCCTGTCGGAGGAGGCCCGGATGGAAAGTCCCCGATATTAGTGAGAAAAGGTGAAGCCGTCGGTTATTGCGTATACGCCATGCACCGTCGCACGGATATCTATGGGGAAGATGCCCACGAGTTCCGCCCTGAGAGGTGGGAAGATGGACAATTGTTGCGCGATGTAGGTTATGGGTACTTGCCCTTCAACGGCGGGCCTCGAGTATGCCTAGGCCAAGAGTTTGCCCTCCTAGAAGCGGGATACACTGTAGCGAGACTAGTGCAAAAGTTTCCTTTCTTGACTGTCCCACAAGATGAACCTATTGTGGCAACCGGAAAGGAAAAGCAGGTTCTAACGTTGGTGGTTGCTTCGGGAGATGGGTGCCGTGTACATATGCGTTCGTAGACTACTATTGCAAACAAGACACAAGGCGATATCCGTTCTTTCCTCGCGAGCATTCTAAACTGACTAATCATATTACATTCAATCACGTGCTCCATATTTCTCGATGTACATGTCAATCCACTTTGCCCTGCCATTCATCAGCATGATGCAAAGACTCAACGCGGTCGTGCTTGGGTGGCAGGAGCTGGAGGAGGCTTGTACTTGACGCGAGGGTCTTGAGAAAGACGATCGGGCAAGAACAAGTTGACGCAACCCTTCATTTGTGTCTGAAACCTCTTGAGCTCGTTGACGCCTGCCTCTAGCACGGCAGCGTTGTTAAAGTCCTCAATATGGACAGTGGCATTGAGTACGTAGGCTCCGCTTGGATCCAAGAGATGGAGTCCAGTCCAGGTAGGGAGTGTGACCTTGGGAGCCTTTTGGATGCTGCGAGCGCCGGGCTCATGGAGAATGCGGTGCAGGAATATGACGACGTTGCCGTGAACGAAACGGTATCCTTCGACGTAGTACTCGGTGACGAATCTGGGCTTTGGTCAGAGGGGGGGCACCAGCATCACGGTAAGAGGCAGTCTAACTGGTTTGGCCCGGAGGCGAGCATATAGGCATGAGGATCGCCAGACAGCAAGTCAGTGGTGTGTGTGAAGCGGATGGAGACGCCTCTGTCACCAGTGTCTGGTATATCCTTGAAAACAAACGACCACACCGGCTCGTCGCCATCCTCTACATGTGCAGACAGCGGGGTGCCGCCCTGTGGCAGTGTGCCTTGTTGAGGAGCAAAATCATCTTCGGTCAACTTCTGGACCAGCTGGGTGTGGTACAGGACGACGGGGGCAGCATGCTTTGCCTGTTTCTGGGCGACCGTCTGGGTGCCTCCACGGCGGCCCAAGTTGGAGCCGGGCTCCTCAGGCTCGCGCAATGGCTTGTAGATGATGTGCCGCTCGTAGATGCGCTGGGGCTGCATGGCCGCTACGCCAGCGAGTATGTTCAGGACCTGCTCATAGCGGGCAAAGGTGACCTGGCCGTAGAGGTTGAGCTCGTGCATGGTGGCAAGGGCGGAGCGGCCGTCGGAGGAGCGAGTATCAATATGCAATTCCCGGTGGTCAGGATGCGGAGAAAGGCCGTGGGGTCGATAAGGACGGGCGGGCGTGTACGGCGTTTCGATTGGTGGGGAGGGACGCACTTGCAGAGAACAGAAAAGACAGCCGTGGGCTGGCCGGCGCGGCTGCAGGAAGCTATGGCCGGCCTGTGCGAGAACGACTCCCACGACTGCCCTGTTTGTCCGCCCATGGCGTGCGGGACGGGCTGGCAGTTGCGACGAGCGCCAGCTTTTGCTTTCTGCTCGTTCGACCGTGGGCAGACACAACCCCAGCCACGCCAACCAGCAAGGCGCTGAGCGGCTTCGGCCTTAGCGCTGTCCCCGCCCGCGTGAAATAATATTTATGTCCTGCTCTCACTCAACCTGCTCGGCTCCCCTCCACCAACCTCGTCGCCTGCCTCTGCCTCTGCCTCTGCCTCAACACCTGACGCCTCCTTCTGTCCCACCGACCTGTTGCGCCTCGTCGTGAGACTCCAATTCCGCCCAGCCCGCCTGGCTCTACTTCGGCTCATTTCTGCATCTTGATACCACCCGAACCGCTGTCTGCCCTCCGTACCACCACCACATACATTTCGCCATGAACGCAACCAGGGCACTCGCTCGCCAGCCCATGATCCGCTTCTTGGGCAAGCGCACCACTCCTTCGCGTATGTTGTACAGCAGACGGGCCCTGCTTCGCATAACTAATGTTGAGTCGCAGACATTGACCACACCCCGCACGTGCACCCAGCTTCTCACATGAAGGAGCTTCCCTCATCATTCAAGGCCTACCGACAAAAGGCACAGCAGCACGGCCCGCTCAACGCAAACGCTAGCGGCCTTGTCGGTGGTCACATTGGCGGTGCAGCTGGCAGGAACCTTGGTCCAGTCGAGGCCGGAAAGGGCCTGTACTTTGATCGCTCCGAGCTGCCTGCCCGCTTCCAGAACCTGTCATGGACCCAGGCCGAGATGGAGCTGCTCGAGTCTGGTGGTGCCAGCCAGTTTGCGTAGATGGGCAAAAGATAACGACGCCAAGACAAGGCAATGGCTGGACGGGCTAAGACGGACTGACGTTTTACGTTTGCGCGCTCTAGTGCGGGGCAGAGAGGATCAAAACTGGCAAGGAGACACGGCATGAGAGCTAGACACGAGGTTTCGCGACAGAAGTGAGGGGCACATGGCTGCTTTGGTTCAATACCCATTGAGATGGACATTTCGAGGATACTGGCATTTGGGATACGGCATGGTTTTTTTTTACAATCTCTTTTCGCGGGTTGCTAGGGACTGTATTGGAACTGTATGGGTACTGTATGGTGACAAGAACGGCATTCATTACTTATTCAACACGAAATGCATAAACAATTGATAATTGACCTTGGTTCTGTGTCGCTTGCATGTGTCGCGTGCACTTTGTATCGATTCACGCATTTCTCACTTGCCAGACAAGCAACAATGCAGCCCCACATGCATTTTGATGCCTGTGCAATTCTCCATCTGCCCGAATCACACAATTGACTGCGACAATGACCGTTACAGCGATGGCGACATTGTACAACTAGACACGCAACTACAAACCCCCACATCGTTGACAATGCGCCGCGGAATCAACTCGGACAGTCTTCGGATGAGTGGGTAAATCCAACTCCACCATCCCACCTGGCGCCTTCCCACAAGCTACCTCGGCACACATCCCCGCCTGACCCAACAAGCACACACAAATCAGCATCTGACAAACAAGCCAGTTGGCAAACCCCCACTGAAGCCGATAATCCGATTTGTTTTCTAGGAAGCAGCGGTCGCAAACGATATTCCATGGCCTGCTCTTGGCACACCCAATCGCAGCGCATCAAGCACCGTAAGCTTATGCCCAAGTCTAGAATTTCGGATTTTACAAACCAAATATCAATAGCAGCGCTGGCATGTGTAAATCGCATGGGGAAATAACAATGTCGGTGGGGCGGAAAGGGCGTGTGGGATGACGGGCCTAGCCCTTTGTCCTCTCCAATTCCCCCAATTCCCCAATTTAAACCCAACTTTTATGCGCGCCCATGGCATGTTGGAGTGAGGGGAGAAAATGGTAACATTGTGGCAAATGAAAAAAAAACAGTGATGGCCCATTTTTGCGGTTACTGTCCGTATTTGGAAACTACTAACACAACAAGGGGTGTGTGTGGAAGATGGGTAAGTATGCCGTCGGATAACCGAAAGCAGCATAAGAAAGCATCCGGAGTTTCCATTTCTCCATGGTTTGGAGTTTTGGGATCAGACAACTGGGGGATGAGCGGAAGACGTACACAACCAGGTACTACTGCCTCCAACCACATCCGAAGAACAGACAGGGGTTCCTGTCGAAGTTATATTTGCTGGACGGATTACGCGGTCAATTCTCTACCATGCACACCAGAAATGTCCGTGCACAACTGTACCCCTCAGTAGTAGCTCTTCAGGAGCTACACTATTATGATGTTACTACGCGCTTGTCTAGCTTCATTCAACTACCGTAAGAAGCAGTGAGACAAAAAAAGCTCAAATAAGCCGACAAAACAGTGTTTTTGGTCAGTATCGTAGCTATAGGCTAGTACCAAGATTCTGCTTACAGCTCTCGGCTCCACACGCTCAACGACGGCGTTAGCCATAAAAGTACTTTAGAAGACACTCTCCGCGAATAGTCGAAACTATGTGGAGCTGTACTACTGTGTCCCCTAGGCTTCGCCCGTCAGCATGTCCTGTAAAATACCTTTAGATGGGACGTAAAGCTTGAATAAACAAGCAAATCAACCCACGGTTCGCGATCCGCAAGATTCGGTGGTGTTTATCGACGACGACGTTGACCCCGAGGAGGATACCGAGGAGGATACCGAGGATATTCTTCTATAGACCCTAGGGCGTCGAACGAACAAGTGACTGCCTTTCAACAAAGCACCTCGCGCGCGAATCTCGCGTACGAGGTAGGCATGGTGGGAGCAAGCATCGAGGCGGATGGGAGAGCCCGATCATCCCATGACCTGGAGCCAGGAGGCGGGCAGTGGAGGAAGAGATGGAAAGCGGTGCGTCGTGCGGATTCATCTGGACGACAAGCTGAAATCCTTGTTCCACAAACTCGGCCATCCCGAGCAAGACTGTTTATCACAACGAGTACAACCACGAGCTCACTGAGCTTGGGGATGGAGTGGTTTTTCGCCGCTAGGCCATCCCTACAGGCAGGCTACATCTATTAGAATATACTCCCACATAAGGGAAATCACAGTCTATACAGACTCTTTTCCATGACTGTTGTTGTGTGTTGTTGTGTATACTCTAACACAACGAGTTAGCTGTCTATACCGACTCTTTCCCAATCCACGACTATTCCTATATGTATTCGCTTAGCTTTATGGGATAGGACGTTAAAATTATACATGTATAGATGAATACATACATACTATATATTCCCAGTCCATATCCAGATATTAGCAAGGGGTATCTTTTTTTGGTTGATGTGAGTAGACAGCTGGTACTACCTTACCACCAGCATTTTCCTATATCAGTCGATTGTAGCCTAGTGATTTAGCTTCAACAGTTATTACTAGAACAACACTGGATTTTTTTCATTATAGCTATATAGCTTCACGCCCCCTTAGGGTATCACCGACCAATACAATACTACTACTACCAAGAAAACGACAGCCAAACCCCCCCCCCAACCAGCCAGCCAGCTTTTGGCAGTAAAACGCTGACGAACACGCGACTACGTAGCTGTTTCTGATTTTTTGATTGCGAAACCTATTCTTACGGTGTACACCGAATTGGGATCCCCTACCAAAAAGGCCCCTGTTGTATTCCTTCGAATGTGGTAGGAGCATGCGTACGCGCCCACGTCCGTGCTCGTAAGCAGACAACGATTGGGGGCGGAATGGCGCGATACGTAAGTGAAGTAAGGTAAGTAGCGCCAAAGTAAGAAATGGCGCGGCAACGGGGAACCAGGGAGAAGCAAGATGAGGTGAGATTTCAATCTCAAGAAAAACAAAACCAGGGATACACACATCTGTGTCTCTGTGTGCCTGTTGTGCTGCAAAGTTTAAACACCCCACGGGGCATGAATCGTCGCAGTTGCCTGCTTGAAACTCAAAGTTTTTTTTCTTTCATGGTATACTACTAAGTGCATGCGTCGCGGTATTACCATAGCTCTCTTCTTTCCCCCCCCCACAATCCCTCTTCCTTGCAAAACCGGGGGGCGCGATGGTGTGTATACAAGTAGTAGTTTTGTTTGCCAACGAACATGCGCATGCATTGCATGCATGAACTTTTCTTTCCCTGCCCCAGTCGTTCGCATTGACTTGTCTACGATTTGAGAAACTACAAGGAAGGAAGAACCTTGAAAGGGAGGGGGGGTGGCGATTTAGTTTTATTTTGGCCCCCCCCCCCAAAACAACAACACCCATTGTTGATTGATGATACCTACCACAACACAACCGCTTCCCCCCTTCCCTTACATAGTTACCCCCCTTAGTGCCAAACTATGGCGCCAAAAAAAAGCCCGTGTCGAACCACCCCCCCCCCCCTTCTTCTCACCCAAAACTTCTCAGGCAACCAGGCAAAACCAATGAAACACTAGAGGAACCCGGAGTCGCGCGGAATTTTTTAGCAAGCAAAGAGACGAACGAACGAGAGAGAGAGAAAAAAAGGGGGGATGGAGGGGTGGAAAGGGTGGAGGGCCGTTGGACGGGGAAACCGGAGAGTGAGGGAAACCATTGTTTCAAACCCGTCACGCATGTAATATGGTGGCTAATTAAGCAACAACCCCAACCCCATTTTGTTTTCATTCATGTGTTTAACTTGCTACACACTACCTTTGTTTATTTTCACCCAGCTATTACCCCCAAAAAATTATCCGTTATTTTTTTTGGTGTTTTGAGTGGGCGCCTGAGGCAAAACACGAGAGAGATTTCACATTCGTCGCACGAGATACGTAAGAAAAAAAGGTTTAAGTTGTAAGAGTAGTAGCATGGGGGGATTCTTGCCCTTGTCCCATGCCGTTCCGCTGCGCACGCAAGGGCCCGGGGTAAAAAAGATTGGGAAAAAAAAGGAAAGAGAGCTGGGCCGGGTCATTGTGGCTGAAGAGAGAGAGGGCCAGTGCAGTGAGAGCGTATGTGCATAGTCCGAACTCGGGGCCGGGAATGCAACGTCCGTCGGTCGTACCAAGTGGCGCAGTGTAGTAGCCAGTGGCTGTGCAGCAGCACAGTTGCAACGTAGTAAAGTACGGACCAACTAAATAGAAAAAAAAGGACGTGCGTCGTCATCGTCGTCGTCGTCTTTGTCCGGCTTGGGTCGTTTTGTTCGCATTTCGGCAGTTTTTTGGTTCCTCTCGAGACCCAAGACTAGACCAAGGAAAGAGTGTACTTAGTTACGAGTCAAGGATGCTTGCGCGTTAATACGATAGCTCAGGTTCCTATTGTTAGGGCACACGTATTCACTCTTAGCTGGATTACGATGTTCGCTCGCGGAGACGCGGAGCCGTGTCATTGGCCATGTGCGTGATATTAGAGTACCCAGATTGGGGGCAGTGCGCCGGATCTTGGAAGCCACGGCAGAAACAGGGAAATCACGATGTGCAAATGCGGGAAATTTGTTCATGTTTTTTTAGACAATGCAATTGTCATGTTGATTGTTTTGTGGTATCTGAATTGTGCCTGAAGATGACGAGCATATGGGTATCTAAAGAAAGAGGTTTGAGCCCATACACCGGATCCCTAAAAGCTGTGTACATGAAAGTGAATGGATAATACATGGTCCCAGCATGCTTGGGGTTAAAGCCAAGGCATTGATTGGTAAACGAGTGACGAAGAAAAGAAGATGAGTCGTAACAAGGTCGTGCAAAGCGCTGACCCGGCCTGCGCTAGCTAGATTGCGAGAATCTTGGGTATATTGATCATGGCGAGAAGCGCCTCTAGGACAAGCTTAGGCCAGGCTCCAGTTGGCCTTGAGACGGGTGGTCTCGGTGATACCAAGAGCCTTCCATGCAGCGCGGGACAGGTCAATATCGTAAGGGCCATCACAGCCAGGGCACATGTCCATGATGGTGGCCTCGCACGTCTTGCCCTCGTACTCAATGTTGATCTTAGCACCGCACCATGGGTTGCTGGAGGCACCAGTCATGACATTGTACGTGGAACCACCCTTGGCGTTCCATGCACCCTTGGCAATGGCGACAACCATCATGTCGTCGGTGAGGGGCTCACCGCAGGCACCAGCGGCACCGTTGTTGTCATAGACGGTGATGTCGACATCCTGGTGAACATCGCCGCCAGAGGATGATGACTCAGTGGTAGGGTACGTGGCAGGAGCTGGAGCTGGAGCTGGAGCAGGTGATGGGCTGGGGGTTGGGGCAGGAGCGGGAGCCGGGGTGTAGACCTGCTCAGGCTGAGGTGCTGGGGAAGGAGCTTGGGAAGAAGGAGCTGGCTGAGGCTCGGGTTGAGGCTCGGGAGATGGCTCAGGAGATGGCTCAGGAGATGGCTGAGGCTCTGGCTGGGGTTCCGGTTGAGGCTCAGGCTTGGGAGAAGGTGTTGGGCTTGGCTTGGGCTGCTCCTCGACTGGAGGAGTGTAGACTGGAGGAGCAGGAGCACTAGGAGCAGGAGCAGGAGTGTAGGCCGGGAGAGCAGCTGGGGTGCTGGTAGGGACGGGCTTCTTCTGCTCGTAGAAAGCAGCAGCAGCAGTAGAAGAGACGGCACTGGGAGTAGGCGTGGGCTCGTCACCGTAGACGGTGGTGTAGATGACAACGACCTCAGTGACGACCTCGGTCTTGTAGACGAGGGCGCGCTTGTCTACGGGGGCGGCAGCGGCAATGGAGCCGAAAAGGAGAGAGGCGATGACAGTGGAAGCCTTCATGTTGTTGATGATGATGATGATGATATGAGAGTAGGTTGGTATTGTTGTTTTTGGTGGTCCAAGGAGTGGGCGAGTGGTGTTTCTGGTGACAGGTTTCTCAGGGAATGGCTGAACTGGCTAGCAGTTTCAAGAGTGAGGTTGTCGGGTTGACAAGTCGAAGACAAAGTGTCTTGGAGAGAGAGTGGAATGAACGAAGGTAGAACAAAGCCTCAAGCCTGTAGAAAGAATGATACAGGAGGAGGGCGGGCGAGTGAAATATAGAGAGCGTGGTGTGGGTTAGCGGAGGAGAGAGGTGAGGGCATGCAAGAGGGTGGGTGGGTGGGTTCGGTTGGGCCTTGACGCTAGCGCCGAGGCACGGCCCCTTTTGCAACGTGCCTGGCCCGCCTGCATCGCATCCTCCGCGCACGACGAGGCCGAGTGAATGTGGCGCTGCCATGCCGGCCCGGCCACTGGTCGAACGGCGTGTCCCTGGCGCGTTCAACAGTGCGCAGAGTCTGCAGCCGTCTACTTTTTTCTTTGCTTATATGCGTCTTGGTGTACATGCGCCGTGACAGGCTGCCGGCATGACCGCCCCCGCTGGGCACATGCGCCGTCTTTGTTTTCGGCCTTGTGTTTCCTGCGCTGACAGTGCGTTCGTGTGCTTGTGTGGGTGTAATTGAGGCTGCGCTGCAAATAGGGCACACAAGGCGCATGCTGGTTTCATGCGTCTGAAAACGGCAAGGGCGGGGGCCAGCGCGGCAGCCAATCACAGCGCTGTGCCTGACGATCACTAGCGCCCGGCCCGTCGGCGGCCAGGGGCACAGCTGCCAGCTGAGTCCGCTAAACGAAACACCCTCACCCAGCTGTACTCTCCTTCACCGGCTCCCTATACCGGCACACACGTGTAGCCTCTCGAGTCGCCGCCCGCCTGCGCTGGCGCACCACAACAGCAACAGCAAAGACAGCTGCCACCGTCCCGTGTGCACATCCCCCGCCTCCATTGGCCGCCTCTGCTCCGCCCGGAACCCGCTGTGCGCCCCTTTGCGCGCCGTGGCCCCCGACCATCCAAGAATTCATCACGTCCCCAAGGTGACATCGAATGCTGCGTGTCTTTTTTGCCGGAGTGTCATCGACGCTCGTCGTTCGCTCTTTGTCCTGCGAGCCCTGCCACTCCGCAGCTGGTGGCCTTCCCCGTCCCACGGCCATGCACTCGAAATGAATTGTGGGCCGTCTGTTCCTTGTTCCCCGTCCTGACTGGGCAGCTCTCGTCCCGCGCGCCAGCTATGCGCGAGAATTTTGACTTTTGCCTTATCCACTTATCGATTACGATAGGATAGCTATCCGTCATACCACTGCATTGCCCATCTTACCCGACCGCGCGTCCTTACAGCTTCTCCGACTGCTACGTCTAGACAACCACAATGTCGTCATAACCCGACCAACTTTCCTTCTACATCATGCGGTCCACGTAAAAGGAAAAAAAAACTACTCTAGTCCTACCCTCTAACATGCTTGCCGAACAAAACCCGTGCAATCGCAATGCTACCGTGCTCGGCACACGTCGTCCCAAGATGTCAACTTCAAAGGGTTTCTTTTGTTCCATGGTTCACTACCCGATTTCTCAAACGCCTTACTCCGTCAGAATTTTCTCGCTTGCTCATCTCCACCTTGCCCTTACTACACTTAGCGTATCCCCCGTCATAGCTGCGTACATACAAGCCTCTTACGTTGAGAAACCCCCATGTCCAACAAAACCCGCCACGGTCTAGAATCATCCGGTTCCCCTCACCTCTTCTAGCCTGAACCTCATCTTTTCGTCATGTTGCATCTTGGTACACTAGACGCCATCGAAGGCTTCTGCCGAACAATGCACTCGTGATTTTTTTTTCCTTTCCAAGATCCTCCCCCCAAACGGCTCAACTCTGGGTCAGGGTGTCATGCCCACCATGTTTCCTTTCTCCGGCATTTTTCTCTGGCTCTTTCCTAGTGCAAACTCACTTCTTGTAGTGCGTAACACAATTTAGTGTATGTAGTTTGCCATGTGTGCTCTAGGCACTCTACAAATCAATAACATCAGAAGGCGTGGAGCACTCTTCAGCACGCTTAACATCATCATCTCCACACTCACACGCCACGCCCTACCACAACCATCATCTCCACCCACCCAGAAAAATGAAAAAAAAAAGTGAAAATTCGGCACCGGGGAAAGGGCGGGTATGCGAACATTACCCCGCGACCTAACTCTTCCTTTCTTTTCCCTTCTCTTTTTTTTCTTTCTTCTGGCTGTTTGCGGAGATTGCCTGCACAAAACAAGAACAAAGCATGTTCGTTTCTCTCACACGCGCCACAGACAGACCACCACTTGGACACATTGTTCGTGTCCGAAACAATGCCTCAGGCACCGACGTGTAGCATGTGCCTGCACTCGATCATCTCCTGCCTCACCTCCNAAAAAAATTACCTAATACGGCGTGTTGAGAGGTCTGTTGTGCTTAGTCCATTCCTTATGTATCCACCCGGCTAAATCTACCTCTTTTCCCATCACTCTCCGTCATATCCTACTTTGCTTTTACATGCTTCTTTTTGACCGGTTTCTTTGTTTCCTTTTTCGGCTTCACATGCAGGGCCCGATCGCTACGCCTTGTTGTTGTTCTTGCCTCGGGACGGGTTCCGTTGTTTGGGCTCCAAGTGTCCTCTTTACGGCAATTGGGTTGCTTGCTGCTGACTACTTCTTCCTGTGACGGTACCTGCTTTTCTTATTTCCAGAGTGCAAATGGCTGTGCTGATGCATGTATCTTCGTTTGCACCACGTGCTGAGGAGATGAAATGACGATGTGTCATGACTTTTTCTTCTTCTACTTTTCTCTCCCTCTTGTTTGGTGCGGCAAGTAAGCGATGATTGGACACTTGGTCGACTGGGAAATGGTTTGGATATGTTATTGTTCTCGACAGAAACCGAGACATATAAAGTATGTTTTGGCTTTCCAATCCCGATGTCGCTGAAACAGGTCCTCCCTATCTACTTTCCTGGAGTTGACTTTGGTTTGCTCAAGACCCTGACATCAAGTAAGCCCAACGGATATCAAAAATCAAATGCTCTCATATAACAAGTACGGATCTTCTCCATCATCTCATGGTTTGAGTAATGCGAAAGTGTAATAGAAGATGAAACGAGGTTCAGATAGTCGAGTAAAAGAAAATCGGACAATAATACTTAATGCTATGTGATGGGATGATTGATATGTATGGAATCTGGTGTTGCTACAGATACTTTGGTTATATGCTATTCGTATCTCCCTTGTGACTCTTGCTTGGTTGATGTAATCATCAACAATCATATGCTCGATATTGAAATGAAGGCTTTGAGGAAGTATAGTTTAATTGACATACATGCTAGTAGTCGTACGTTTTCCAAGACTCGTACGTTCCATCCCTCACTGCTGCTGCGATCCTGTGTGCTTTCGCCACCTTTTCATTCAAGCCAGCCTCAAGATAACAGTCTGTCAACAGATCCACCACTTCTTGATGTTTCCTGATCACTGCATAGTCGAGTGCGGTTCTCTGGTTAAAGTCTTCAGCCCCCATATCGAATTCGCCTCCACGTCCTACCAATACTTTGCATATTCCAATAGATCCCATCGCAGCAGCGTGATGCAACGGAATAGTCCTATAAACTGTAGCAAGTCCCAAGTCCGGGCCTAATTCCAATACCCTCTGTATGAACTCAATTAAATGCTTATCCTCTATAAACTGACATAATATGTGCAGCGGTGTTCTCCCAAGTATGTCTTGACTATTCCATACACTGACGCCATCCCTTAAGTATTTATCCTCTGCCGGCAAATACAAATAACGATAATTATCTTCAAAAATGCCATCAAACAGGCAATGTAGGGCTGTCCTTCTTAAGCAGTCGGAATCCCCTGTGTGCGATCTCGGTAGCATCTCATCCGACCAATCTGACGTGTCAGGATAGTAAAGTCCGATGGCTCTACTCTGTTCGGCAAGTTCAGACAAGCCCAGTGACTCAAGCGCCACGCTGATTTCCCGTGGCACTTTAGTTGACAACGTGGTATAGATTTGGATTTCTTCTTCCAGTTTGTCCTTATTGAGCTCAAGGCCGTGGCGCAGGATCAGGTGCTCCTTTACCACGAAATTTCTGAATAAATCCATAGAATCGTTAAGTCCATACATCGGTAGTTCGATATCGACTTCGATATCGGAGTCCTGGCAAATAGGGCAGATATGATCGATGCAGCATACATCCACAGCGAGAATTAGGCTGATAAGTGAAGAGCGTGTCGGAAGGGTTTTCGAGAACTGTTTCTCCGTCAAGAGTTTTGTCAAGCATGTGAGAATTACTTCATCGTAGATGTTGACGACAAAAGATATAAAATCTGGATCCCAAATGTCGTAGGTGGGCGACAAAGGAGTTCCAAATAATGAACGAATATGTTTGCCGAGTTTAATGAGCTTTTCTTTAGCCTTGACCATCATTTGGTAGTAGCTTACGAGAAGAGCACTGTGAACATCTCAATTCTGCTGGTCTGGTTTTACAAAACTCAGGGGACATCAACGTACATTTGGTCAAAGCTGATTTTCGAGACATCCGAATCGACTGGCGAGGGAATGACGTTTTGCGTTGGTGGTAAAGACCTCGATGCAAGCTTCCGAGGGCGTATTACTCGGGTTCCTTCTGAGCAATGAAGCTCCTTTTCAGTACAGCGATTACATTTTTCCGAACCCTGCCGGATACACTGGGTTTTGACTGTCAGTACGAGTTTTAAAAACTTGCATCGAATTGTTTTTATATGGCCATTGGACGGAGACTTGCACCCCAGGAATTTAATTATGCATGTGCGCAATCACTTACAGCCTTTTTGTCATCTCGACACCTTTGGCACTTGGTCATGTTCAGCTTGCGTTTTTTGCGCCCTGAAATTGATGACGACTGCTGCTCTTCCAGATGTTCTCGATGTGGTTCCACTTGGTTTCCCTGTTCATGGTCCCGTTCGTATTGTACCTGTCTTCGTAACTTTTGTCCATTATGTCCGTCCAAGTTTTGAGCCTGATCTGGCTCCCAGAGAGCAGGCTGGATTCGTCTGAGCAAGTTTCTAGGCCCTTTATTTGTACTTTCATAGGAACTCAAATTGTGACCATGAGACACAAACTCAATCACCGGACACGCTTCGCATGTTCCATGACCACAGTTCAAGCACAAGGCAGGAACAGAAGCCCTGGCAAATAACATGTTACATGCACAGCATATCCTGCCGGTATTCCGGGGGATACGTTCTGTTTGATACAAACGAATTGCTGAGCCGGCGTTTGGGTCGTTGGTGCTCATGGACATGATTGAAATCGGAATGTTCCTCAAGGTCGAAGCGGCGGGTGATTCGAGAAAAAGTGTATAGACGGAGGAAATTCGCGAAAGAAGAGAATTGACTGCGATAGGCTCATCAACCTGGTGGAAGAGAGAGGGAACTTGAGATTTGAGTTGCGCCTTTTGTAAATATGTGGAAACCCACTCTTTTGGAAGTGACTATCCAGGTGCGACAAAGCGCGAAAAGAGCATGTAATAAGCTCTGCGACAAGGTGCGATACTAAGACCAGCACGCATCCGTGCTGCGCTGGCAACATCAGCTCATGCAAGCCACAACATGGCTGTGAACTTGGCCTATCCGCAGCATGGGCAGCCATTGGCTGTCGCACTTTATCGCAGTTGCAAGCCGCCGCTGACTAGTATCCTTCTGTGCGGTATGATTGCAGAAGGGTTAACTGAGCCCCCCTCAATACCGCCTACCGCCTACCTCAACCTCATTCATTGGTGGTCGCACATCGTCGCAGTCACGGATTGAAGGTACATATTGGCGTGGTATCGAGTTCCTAGCTTTACCATTGGTCATCGCATCTTGTCGCATCCTTCCAGTGTCAACTGCGGGTGTCGCGTAGGGAAACCTGGATCAACTCCATCCGCTCATTCGTCATCGCATCTCATCGCACTTCAAATCACACCAAGTGTAACCGACGCCATACCGGTAGATGAGCAACGCACCTTGTGGGTCCATTCTTTGCCTTGAGGCTGACAGGTCCCCGGTCGCATCGCACAAATTCGCGACACCATCAGGCAAGAGTCCACTTGCCTTTGCAATGGACATAAAGATGATCCTGAGCCTCTTACCCTCAACCAAGTTTGGATTGATCCCTCATAAACATCCATTCCGTTTCATTTTGAGTTTCTTCTCGCAAGCGTACTCTACGACACAAGTCAAGCCTCGTCTTGCTCGATCTGCCAAAACTACTATCCGCCATGCTCACTAAAAATATGATGAGGTCAACTGTGACCCCCACGCCGTCCATGAACGTTTCAAACACAACCATGGCCCCTTCGTCAAACGATACAATTGTCGGCAACGAGAATTTTGACTCACTTAGTGTGACGATAAGCTTTGGTGTACTGGGCTTGGTTGTGGCGGTGGCAGGTATATTGATAGCTGCCTTACAGCTTCGACGCATGTCACGCTCAAAAAGAACAGTTGAGGTGTACGAGCTTCCGTGTAAGATTGGACATACTGAGTCACAAGGGGCAAAGCTGACCAGTTTTTAGGAAGAGCGCTTGGAGAGTTCAAAAGATAAACAAGGTATCCGGACTGGCATTCATGGGCGAGTGAGCATTTGGCTGCCTAGTCAGACGGAACACGATGCAGTAAATAGTAGATTGGTACAAGTGACAGGGCTCTGCCAAGGCTTCAGGGCCTATAAACGTCGAAGAAGAGATAGGTGTAAATACACAATACCTCCTATGGGTGCGCAAATGTACTGCGCAACGAGTCCCATCAGTAGTCTGGTCATTTGATACCTTTTTGATATAGTTAATAGAATTTGGTTAATGTAAAACACAACTGTCCTTCTGGACCAGCGCCTTGTTCCTTAGTGCATTTCTTAGCGAAGGATACGAGAATAAAAACCATGCATCGTATAGCCAACGGGTCTGGACCTTCAGACGGTAGCGGTCTGAAACCAGGCAGAGATGAGGATCTTCGACGTACATGACAAAAGGCAGTTGAGAGTGGTCACTGTTGGTACGGACGGTGATTAGGGCATCGTCGAGCAATCGCACCACACAGCCGTTGGAACATCGCACATGGTGCAGCGTGGATGGGAGAGCCGGAAGCTCTGGCGGCGAGTAAGGAGCCAGCTGGATAGGGCTGAGAGTGGAGGTTTCTTGGGCGTGGGCATGTGTCGATCATCTTCTATGAACTTCCTAGCTGCCGTAATAAAGGCCTTGGCACCGGGCAGCACGCGGCTTTACTGTGCATATCCAGGTTTCGTCATCTTCTGTCAGGCAAGCACAATCCCATGGACCCCTCCCCAGCCACCGCGTCTGCCTTCTTTTCTCTGCGACGAGTGCTGTCGCGCCCATCTTCTCCACTACCTTGAAGGCTGTGTATATACGCGGCGCGCCCGTGATCACGTTCTGTAGCCGTTTTGTAGGCACCCTGAGCACATACTTACATACGCCCGCCGCAGTTGTTCATCTATCCTGCGCGCTGACCACACCTCCTCCACGGATAACAGTCTCCTCCATTCTCGCCCCCATATCCAGGTCTCGCGCCAAGGGACTTGCTATTATTTGCATTGCCTACTGCTTGTGGCTTGCTGCACTGAGCACCACCACTGAGCCCGTGCTCCGTTTCACCTCTTTGTAAACACCACGACTGGTGGCTCCCACTCCCGACTCGATACACTCGCGCGACTCCCGGTGCCAGACAGCACCCTCATCATCATCCTACATAATGTCTCTCACCGACTCCGAGTTGGAGCTGGTCAGCTCTGAGCTGCGGGGTAACAGCGACGACATTCCAGAAGAGCCCGACATGATACTCTCATCCGACGCCGACAACGCCGAGTCGTTCGCTCCACCACCGCGCATTGCGGCGCGCTTCTATCGGCATTCAGCGAACCGCCGCAAGTCGTCTGCGACATCGTCGCGCCGCAACTCGATATCCTCGACACACTCACACACATCGAATCGATCGTTCCGCAACAGCTGCCAAAGCCATCACGTAGCCCAGCACCTTCGCCGCGCCTCCATACTCGAAGACCGCAAGGCAAGATTGGCAGATCGGGCAGCGCATGCCGAGCAGGTCAGGCTGCGTGCTGCCTTGGCCAAGGCTGCCCCTCGTGGCTCAAACAGTGAAGAGCGAGCCCTCGCAGCAAAACAGGCCCGCGAGAAGCATCTCGCCCAAGTTGCTGCCTCGTGTGCCGAAGAAGTTAGAAGAGCCAAGAAGATTGCTGAAGACATGAAAGAACGCAAGGCTGCTGAGGAGCGTAGATATCGTATGGAAATGGAGGAGAAGTTGGCAGAAGCTGAAAAGAGAAGATTGGAATACAAACGCAATCCCCGACGGCCGAGAACTGCCAGTTCACCTCCGGCTAGCCTCAAGCCACGCACCCAACGTCCCGTTTTGTCTACCGAAGATGCAGCCAAAAGAATTCAAGCGGCCTGGAGAAGCAAGGTCAGGCGTGACATTGTCAGAGAATGGCTGAAACTTGGTCTGTCTATTGAGATGGTCCAGGAGACTAGTTTCGACGTCATCACAGGCATGCTTGCAGATGAGAAGCTGTTGAAGACGACTGATAGGATCATGACCTTGTTTGTGCTACTCCCCGATGCAGATCCAGCCCCCCGTAGCGCCGCTGTTAGGACCTTCCTCTCCTCGTATCTTATTCTGGCACACCCTACCCATGTCTTCAGCCGAGACGGTGACCAAGAGCAGGATCTGATTACCAAAGCCAAGGACCTTGTCATTAGCTTTGAGTCTGCTTTGGCCAAACTGACAAAGCTCAATGCCTACACTCCATCGCCCACACGCACAGAAACGGTTTTGCTAGCCCACAGTGCATTCGTTGCTGCCTTCAACGACTGGAAATCTCGTGATTCGTCGGCGCTTGTGGAGACCATGGTTGCCTCGTTTGTCAGCCTGGACGAGATATGGCAAAGTGTCAAGGATGCGACAGTCGATGAAGTAGCCAATGAATACAGAAACGGCATTCGGGACAATCAAGCTATATTGCTTAGCAGGATCAAGAAGCTGGCCGGCCCTGACAAAGCCCTTATGCTGATCAGGAAGGCTATACGCGAAAGCCGAAGGTCGAAGCCAAAGAAGAGGCCCGCAGGCGATACTGTTCGACCTCGTGTGGCTGGCGAGTCCACACCAGACTCTCCACTATCGGCCGAAAGCGCTGCCAAACAGGCTGAAGCAGCTTCTGAATTGGCAGCTTCTGGGCAGGCTAAGCCTGAAGACCCCACTACGCAGGGTCACCAAGCCCAGTCGCTATCCAAGGTCTTTACGGTGGTGCCTGACAACCGCATACTGGTTCACGAGTTGTCAATTGACAAGGAGTACCGCATCGATCCTTCACCGACTGCCGACCTGCGCGATGCTCTCAATCGTGAGCTGTGTGATGCGATGCGACGGGGATTCGAGGAGGGCGATAGTGCAAACTGGACCACTGCTATGGCGGAAAACATACGCGGCAAACTGTTACGGCTGCTGAAGCCTGGCAACTCTATGCACACCCTCATCTCCGAGACTCTTGATCCAGAGCATGTCAACCGGCAATGCAGCCAAGGTGTCTTCTCATACGGCAAATTTTTCAACTTTATTGCCAGCATCCTGCCCAAGCTATGTGCACCGTTCCGAGACACTGAGATTCAAGCACTTGCTGAAGAACTAAAGGAGGAGGGAGACCTATCAAGCATGATTGAGAAGTTGTTCAAGATCCTCCACATCATTGATCTGCTCTCACTAGACTACTCAAACTTCCTGTTGATGAATGCCGCTCCTACGCTAATCAAGGAGGCTGTTGGCTACGAACAACGCATGTTCACACAAGACCTGGAAGAAAACAAGATCACTCTCGATCGCACACGCCGCTGGTGGCGTAGTGCAGCAGTCAATATGCACACTGAGGCTGATCGCCGTGACCCATGGAGCCAGGCCAATCCCCTCAATCGACCCACTGCGCACAAAATATATGCCCGTGGTTTGGTCGATCTGGCAATCGCAACCCCACCTCTCCGGGAGTCTGAGTTACCAGAGACACTCGAACTGGACCGAGCCCGGATTGCCCGGATTCGCGATGATGCGCTGCGCATCACGACTATCGGGGGGATCCTCCTTACAGCCAAGAATCTACTTAAGCGGGATGTGCGGTCGCAGTGGAAATCCGAAGCCAACAAGATGTGGGTGGTGCTCAAGGAAAACGGCTACATGTCTGACACCTCGACGGCGGCCAAAATTTCGTCCCTCCTCGAGTCATCGCGCAACATGCCGCCGTCGACACGCTCGCAGCTGTCGTCGACCATCACGAGGCTCCTCACGCAGGCCGAGGCCGGCAAACTTTCCGACCCCGTGCTAAAGGTCCTTTTCCAGCGGCTCAAGACGCACATTTTCAACCGCGTCAGCGCCAGTAGTTCGGGCGAGCGAGTCAGAGCTGCGAGCACGGCGACCGAGGGCCTCGCGACCACGGGTCTACCGGAATTTGTGTCTCAAGTGGCGGATATTTGCGAGCAGCTGAGCAAAGTGGGCGAGGTTGATCGCAAGTGCCATGGCAAGTGGTATGAGGAGATTGCAGAGGAGATGGAGAGGTTGGGGGTGGAAGGGGGTGAGGAACTTGTGCGCTCGCAGAGCGTGGAGAGTTCGGGTGCTGCGTCTTCGTCTTCTTCGTCTTCGGTGTGAGACGTGAGATGTGAGACGGTAGGAAGGGGGGGTTTTTTTTCTTTGGGGGGAAAGGTGGAAGGGGTTTAATGGGATAATGTGGGGATTTGGCGTTTCGTCTTTTCCTCTCCTTCTGTCTCTTTTCTGAGTCTTTCAAGGTGTATTCTTGGCTTTTTTTTCCTTTCATTCTTGGGATGGATGGGGGGGTTTCTATGTTGCTCTCTTGTTCATGCTATTTTTTTGTGTCGTTGTTTACTTGCGAGGCGCTGCAGGTGTTATTTCTTCTTCTTTTTCCTATCTCTCTATCTCTCCTTCTCCATTCTTCGGCTTTCATCAAGTCTAGACTATGACCCTTTCTTTTTTTTCTTCTTTCGATCTCTTTCACTCATGAGTAATATACCAAGGTCGTGACACGGGATGCTTTTGTTTGTATCTTTTGTTTTTTTCTTGGTATTTTTGCTGTTTGGAGCGGAAGCAAGTCGTGTTTAGACGTATACCAAATCTTTTTTTTTTCATCTTCACTCTGCTTGCGTAGATTTGTGTTGTTCTTGCTTTTTCTTCTTCTTCATCTCCTGTCACTTGATTCAGCTGTGTGTGTGTGATGATAATGACGGGGTTTGAAGTCTGTGTCTTAATGTCAAGATAGTGGCGCAGCGCAAGGCAAGTGACGTGAATGAGAGTAAGCTCAAGTCAAATTGTCTTGTTTTGTCTAGATTGTGTGAGGATAACAGCGCTCATGTATAGACCGTCAGTTGGGTCAGTTGACCAAGTGCAATTACTGTGTCTGTATGGGCATCGACTCATGGTGCGCACAGTTTTGTTTCAGCACCAGTCATGACAACATACTTGTTGCCGTTTCTTTCTAATAGAAAGGCCCGTGTATAGATCAGACAAAATGCATAGACCGAGATGTCATGTGCTCAGGGGCTCAGAGGGTTCGGAACATTTTGAGTGGGTGCAACAATCGAACAACACTATCAATTGAAAGGAATGTACTTCTTTCTTCTGTCTGTTGTATAGAGATATGGTAGATCGATATCGTCTTATCATGGAATATTTATTGGTTTTTGTGAAGATCACGCCACATGTGAAAGAAATCAACATTGTCCGTTTTGTTGGATGTGCAGCAATGGGCGTTTTTTTTCTTATTTCATTTTTTCCTCCAGTCATGGACGAGTTATGTCTGTGCGTTGTTTCTTTGCAGTGGGGGATTGCAAGGCGAAAACTAGTACCAAAGCGATAGGTTTTCACTGAGCAGTTTGGGGATGTGCGTCGTCTTGTTCACCTGTACCACAGGCAGTGGACGAGGAGAGCCACGTGCATAGCAACATTCTCCGATGAACTGAGTGGGCAGTATCAGAGATTTTGTTTGGGATGGGAATCGCCTATTGCCGGTGGGCCTGAAGCACCTGGAGGCCGACGTATGCCAAAGGTTGCTTTTCTTGCTTCATCGATCCGGCCCTTTGCAAGACTGATGCCAGGGACAACCCAGTCTCCACAGCTGCACTGCATGCCCTGCCAGGCATACTTGCCTACATTGGTATGGCACTTTGGGCACTCCAGACGACCGTCTAACTTGCCTTGTTCGAGCTCAGGTCGCATCCATGACAAGGGATCGAGGAAGTAATGGGCACATTTGGCCGAAGTGGGAACCTCGGCCTCGTCGTCTTTTGCAGTAGAAGAGGATCCATGTGATAGTAGATATTGCGAGGTTGCCAACGCGCGCCTAAGACAAGGTAAGCGCAGGGCAGGAGAATGGTGGCGGTAAGAGAATATAGGGTGGCATTAAAGCCTTATCGTACGGCCCCACTTACCTGCATTTGCGACACCTTAATTCAAAGGCTGCAGCCTCATCGGCAACATGTTCGTCTTCGAAGCGAATCTTGTCGGCGTCTGGCGCTTGACCACACGCGCGGCTCAACTCAATTTCGCGCTGGTAGACCCATCGTTGGTAGGCTGGGGTGCTCTCGACGTCGGGTGGAGTGTGCATTTGAGCGTAGAGGTTGAGCTGGTCCATGAAACCTGGGTTGGGCTCGCAGATGGACCGGGCTTGCCGAACGTGGGACAGGGCTTGGGAAGGGCTGATGTTGTGCTGCTGCATCAAATATGCGATGACAACGGTAGCCGATCGTGACTTGCCCATGGCACTAAGGAAGAAGGAATGGTTGGCATGTTGGTACGAGTAGCGGGAATGGAATCGAACGAGTGGCAGGGAAGCGGTGTGGAATTGGGGAAAGAATGGCCGAAAGGGTAATGCAGGCAGTTGCAAAGAGGAAAAGAAAAGGCGGGCTTTGCAGTCAAAGGATGCAGGACACGACGCGGGTGGTGGAGAATAACTGGACTTGGACTGTGGTGCATTGCTCCCAGCGACAGGGCACTGGAGCCGGCGGGTGTGGTGAAGAGGGCAAAACTGCCAAGCAAGGCAGTCGGGGGCGGCGATCCAGGGTTGTGTGGGTGCACGAGGCTTCAGCTCAGCAAGGGTGTTGACTTACCAGTGCACTAGAACGCCACCACCTGCGTCGAGGCCGTCGCGAATGAAGCGATTCGTGGCCGGGAAATGTTGGAGGAGGTTCTCGTCGTCGACATCGTCGACCTCGACCACCATGTGCTTGAACGGGGCAAACAGGGCGTCGTCGAGGGGCGTGCGCAGGACGGACAGGACGTGGGTGATGTTTGCCTGCTCAAGGGCCTCACGCCGCCGCAGCGTAAAGATGCTACCTCGGTGGTCAGACAGTTGGACAGTGGACCGGCAAGGCAGCGGCAACGACAAAGACGACGAAGACGACGATGCAGCATGGCCTTGCAAAGAGAGGGAGAGGGGGAGTGTGTGTGTGTGTGTGGGTGTGATTCGAAACCACGGCGGGCGTCTACATTACGTACCCGCCAATGTACAGATTGAGGTTTCCGGGGACTCTGTCGAGGAGGGCCATTATGGCAGCTCTCAGAGCGGAGGGACCCGAAAATAGTCGGAGGCCCGAAAGGAGGGGCGAGAAGACCAAGGGCTTGGGGGGGGGACGAAGCACAAGCTGGTGAAGAAGGTGTGCAAGTGAGGGTCTAATTTTCACCGAGGCTTCGTGATGGCGCACACCCGCCCAAATTGCGGACCCGTCGTCTCTGGCGCCCAAGGCCGGATGGTGGTGGCCAGGCGATTACGGTGCTGCGACCATGGGGGGGCAACAATCGTCGGAGATTTTTGCAGGCATGGGGTTGGCGGGCTGGGGTCACGGAGGTGGATGTGATGTGTGGTTGATGTGTGTAGAGAGATGCTAGAGGGGGCGGATGTACATGTCATCCCAGCCAAGGCCATGGAAGAAGCCGACGACTAAGACGACGCCGACGAGTGTAAGTAATAGATGGCAGACGGCCCATGTTCCCTGTCATGCGCGCCTGCCGACGATCCGGAGCAGAAGGGCGTCAACGACAGCGCGTCCGACCATTTTACCTTTGCACCGTCGGCCATGGCCAGTGTCAGGTGTGTCGTCGTAGTCGTCGTCGTCTCGCCAGCGGAACCTTCCGTACACCCGCGGAGCTGCAGTGCGCGGATCAGGGACTGAGAGCCCTGGCCATGGGTGAGCCCCAAAGCCCCGTGTGCTAGTTTGCTCATGGCGTCTTGTCTGCAGTGCCCGGTAGACCAGACTGGCTGGAGAGCATGTACGTTGTAAGTATACGAGGCCAGCACGCGGGCTGCCATGCCGCTTCAAGACAGCCGGGCGAGACCAGACCGGGCCAGCGACAGACAGACGGGGTCATGGAATCCTGGAGTTTTGGCATGCCCTGGCCTGTGGCTCGTGTTGCGCGGGCTGGCGGATGGGTGCAAGGCTGCCGTGGCGCCTCGCCCCGCATCTCGGCGAAGCGCATCAGTGTTTTGGCCCAGAGGATGTGGGAAACAGGAGTTTGGAGTGGCACGACCTAGTGGTGTTGGAGTGGTCTGCTAGAGGATATGCTACGCTGGTGTCTGGTAGGGCGGGCGGGAAATTCGATATTGGACGACATGGCCCATGACTTTGGAGCCTCGCCGTGTCGCAAACGAGGTGTACCGCCGCTTACCTGGCCATGGACTATGCGCATGCGGCCCACGCAGCAGAAACAGGCTACGACTGTACGTACTGGTAGTGCCGTGTAGGTACACTACACTACTTGTGAGGTACTGCTCGTGGGCGCTCGCAGCACAGACTTGGGCTTGAATCCGATACCCCGGAGTGTGTCTGCATGCTACCGCTCGTGGCAGCACGAGGCACCCATGGAGCGAGTGCGAGGCCAGACGACTCAGCCCCGAACAGCAGATCGGTAAGACGTGTGGCGGCAGCGGCAGCAGACAGCAGTCGGTCGAGGGCCGGGAAGCGTGTGCGTGTGTGTGCGTGTGCACTCTAGTACATGCATGGCCATGGTATGATGATGGCGAGGAAGGAAGAAGCTACTATTCTACACTAGCTGGCTCGCACGTTGACGTGTGGGCAGATGGATACAGACCGACATGGCTAGATGGACATGTACGCAAGTGCGTACGTGCATGTGTACATACACAGATACGTACTTACTTGGACAGATACATGTCTGCACAGCTGTAAGTAGACCTCGTACATGTACATGTGCCTGGGCATGTATGTGTGTACAAGTACATGGCACACACATGGACAAGAGCCGGGTATCTATGACATGTGTACAAGTACGGCAGTACGTAAGTATGTGAATAGCAGACGGCGGAAATGCCTCGCCAAGACGCACTGGGGGGTGCAGGCAGGCCAGCCAAAGACAAGCAGCAGCAGCAGGGCGGTAGGGCTGCGAGGAGGTTGCCCGTGGTGGGTGGGTTGGAACTGCTGGTCAGCATCTGTGCGCAGCGACCGCTTCCGCTACCCGCGTTGCAGGCTAAGCTGTAAGCGTTGAATCTGACGCTGTGCCGCCTGCAGCTCGTCGCCCCCCCATGGCCGTCCAATCCCGGCCATGCAACCCTCGTCAGCCAGCAGGGCCAGCAGGGCCAGCAGGGCCAGCTAGCCAGCACCAACCCGGCCTGCCCCATCGGCACTGTCCTGCCCTACCACCGCCCCTCTCACCGTTGCACCGGCCTGACGTACAGGCCATCGCCCTGCCTCTCTGCCTGGCCTCCTGCCTCCTACCTGCCAGAAGGGGGGGCCACAGGCGGGCGCCAATCCACACGATAGATTGTCGTCTCAATATGCTGGCTAAGCCCCCTTGGTCGGCCTCTGGCTGACTGCCCTGCCCTCTGTCCACTCGACTCCCCTCCTTTGCACCCGCCCACGCACCCACGCACGCACTCACTCACGCCCCCTCCCCCCCACGCCGCCGCCGCCGGGAAACCTCTGCCGTCGCCCGCAGCCCTCTGCAAATCCACGCCTGCCAGTGCCAGTGTCCAGGGCCACGCTTCGTTGCGACTACTGGGCAAGCCCTATGCACGCAAGAGGGCCGGCGTGAGCTTCACGCTTCACGCTTCTGGAAAAGCCAGAAACCACGCCTACGACTAAGGCCTGCATGCCCTGACCCCTGCCCGGCAGCGTCTCCACTTTGATGCTCCGTGCCAGGAGCAACACGCAATAACCAATCACTGCCTGTGAGCCTGCCCAGCGTCGTGCTTAATGTCTAACCCAGTCCCCGGTGGAGGATCTCTTTTCTCATCCGTCTGCTGCTGCTGCTGCTTCTGCTATTGTCGTGTCCAGTCGTGCCTCTCTCTCTCCACACACACACCAGAGAAGAAGAAGAAAAACTGCCTCGTTTCTAATGTGCTAAACGCCTTCCAGCAAAGCTTCTCATCCCTTCAACTCCACTCGCCTCCGGCCCACGCTAAAAAAACAGGGCCCTTACCCGTATGCCTGCTTGGGCTGCTCTGCTGCAGTGTACCATGAGCATTGCATTCACCACAGCAATTTGAGCTTTTGTCTGCCGCCGCTGCCAACGTCCCATGACCTATAGTCTGCATCAACAAGAAGCAAGTATTGTGGCGGTGCGGGCCAGAATTGTTTGTTCAGCTCGACCCTACACCAACGAGGGTCTCAGCCCTACGAGCAGCCTCAATCGCTAGTCAACGGGTACGAAGAAACCGCCCCCGCTCCGTCTACTACTTATCAGCCTCGCCCTCGGAAACACCCCAACGACACGTAACACCCCCCATACCCAGGTAAGCCACTCACTGTTACTCTTTGCAACACCCTTCAGCCGCTCTCCTACGCACTCACTGCACTCTTCCCTGCCGGTTTCGGTCATGCCGTCTGTGGTGGCAGGCTAACTCTTCTGCGTCTAGGTCCGTGCTCGCATACACTATCCAGTAGCCACTGCCTTTCACGCGTCTTGCTCGTCGCGACTCGCCACTTTTGCGGTGCTCGTCTGCAGCAAGGTACGCTTCAGCTGCTACTACCCCCTTAGTGGCGGCCTGCAGACAAATATCGGCACCATCCACAAACCATGTCCTCGACGCCGAGCATTCGCGTATATGATTCCCACCGCTATCCGCTACCACACCATACCCGAGCCTCGATAGGAAGTCCAGCCGTAGCAATGGCTATACCGAGAGTACGTAAGCTCGTGTTCCTGCTTGCTGCACTTTTTTTCCCTTGTGTGGGCCTGGCATGGTATTGCCCAATTTGCATGCTTGAAATAGCATCCGAACACATTGCAATGCACGTCAGGTCCTTGTTGTTCACCGTCCCATATCTTAAACAATTGACTGACCGTGCCGCAAATTTCACAGGCTCGCGACCAAGTCCCACCACCCTTGCCTCCACCACGTCACATCGAAGACCTCAGGACTGGCCAAGACCCTGGTTGGCAATGGGGTAACACGAATAGTCCAAGGGACACAGGTTTTGGCGGAAATCGGCTCGCGACAGTTAAACCTGGCTCGAGCTTATACGGTGGAGCCCCAAGCAACTACCCACGCGAGTCCGCGGGCAACTACATTCTTTCTCGCAACCGAGAACCTTCCATCTCCAGGTCACTCGAAGACATGAGCTCCGAACACAGCGGCCACAGTGACGAAGAACGCAACACCAACCCTCGCCCATCGCTCGCAAGTCACCGCTTCACAAGTGAAAGACAGCTGGGGCAAAAGGCCCTACAAAACTCATCGCAGGCCTACGACAAGCAATTGCTCTCCAAGATTGGCGGCCCAAGTACACCCACAAGGACCACTGCACCTCCACTATCCTCCACTAACACGCAAGATGCCGCCACTGACCCGCACTCCTCGATACACAAGCACAATGGTCAATTGAAGCCGTTGACTGTGCCTGCCCTCTCACCAGGCTACACCGGCTTCCGTAGCCCCATATTCGACCCAACAGAGCCGTCCAGGGCACGCTACGGTAGTATCTCGACTCCAGGGCCGTTGGATGACACCTCTTCGACCCATCGTGGTAGCTATGATCACAGCATATTTTCCGATCCAGAGTTCAGCATGGAGGAAAACGGCATGCGCGACTTGAACATCAACGAGCGCAGCCCTGCCGAGTCAGAAGAGTACCAACTGGGCCCAAAGGGTGGCCTGAAACGGCGCGCCTCGTCGCCTCCCTCTGAAGCTGCGCGCGACGATCGCCCTACAACCAGTGGCCATAACGATCTATATCACCGCCGTTCAGCCCAAATGCTGGTCAACCGGAACTGCAATGCATCGCGGTTCCATTCGAATCCAAGTTCCTTGTCTTCAACCGGATCTGCAAGTCAACGCAGCGGCTCGATTGCGTCTTCGTTTGGCTTCTCCACGGCCCCAAGTAGTATAACAAGCTACGGCGGAGATCAGCGCTTGTCACCAAATGCGTTGTCACCATTAGGGGAGACGGAACTGGGCCCCGTGTCGCCTTATGCAGCTAACAGGTCGTTGGATCCCAGCCCCCGCGGGTCCCTGTCGCGACCTCCGCATCAGCGAGGCTTTTCGGAGACCGAGCATCCACAAATCCGAAAAATGTCGACAGAAGGCATGCTACAGTCGCGACAGAATTCAATCGCAAACCGCCTGCCAGGTGCTTACATTTGCGAGTGTTGCCCCAAGAAACCTAAAAAATTCGACAGTGAAGAGGAACTCCGGTAAGTGACATGGGTCTGCGTCTTACCCACCGCTATTTGGCCTACCCATGCCCGGATGACCATGCGCTGACCCCTGCAACAGATTGCACGAGCTGGAGAAGCAGTATATCTGCCAGTATTGTCCTAATCGTTTCAAGAACAAGAACGAAGCCGAGCGCCACCAAAACTCTCTCCACCTACGGCGACACTCGTGGTCATGCGCAACACTTGCCGGCGTTCATGCAGCTTTCCACCCCTCAGCTACTCGCCCGGCTGCCGCAGACGTCTGTGGGTACTGCGGTGAAGAGTTCCCTAACCCTGCGGATTGGGAGGCTCGGGCAGAGCACTTAAACCACGTGCACAAGTTCGGCGAATGCAATCAAGCCAAGAAGTTCTTCCGTGCAGACCATTTCCGACAGCACCTGAAGCATAGCCATGCAGGGACCAGTGGAAAGTGGACTAACATGTTGGAAAACGCCTGCATGAGAGACGAGCCGCCGCCTCAAGAGCGTGTTGGCTCCATTGCCTCCATGTCCGGCCCTTCGAGCCTTGCAACCAAGCCTGGCGTCATCAGCGAAGCACACGACGAATCTTGATTCATCCCCCCCTCCCCCCCCCCAAAAAAAAAAGAGTTACCAAACACCTAGGAGACACGTGCGGCATACCCATCTCCAGGCTGATCTGACCGGAATTTATTCAACGAAGCGCAGTCTCTGATGATATTCAGTTCCATTCGACAGTAGCATTCTCTCCAAACCATTGCTTTTGGCTTTACATATCAGCATTCCCAGGCATGGTTTTAATCTAGCAAAAAAGTCTTTACAGTCGCAAATTGTCTTTGCATTTACCATTCATTCCCGGCCAGGCCAGGGCGCTTCGGCATAACGACACTGATGATGGCATTTGGTTATACATATCGGTATCAGGAAAATTTCTGATGCTGGTTCAACGACACGTTCGATGCATTTCTATGGGTGTTTTTGTTTCAGCGGCGGCGTCGATAGGGCAGACATGTCCAGGATCATCTTTATAGGCAGCTTCTTTTTTGCGACTACATTCCTTGTTGACCTATTATACAAAAACTATTTCACGAATACAACAACAACAACAACAACAACTGTCAAAGTCCTGTCAAGGGAAAAAAGTTTTCGCTCTCTCATTAGTACTACGGAGTGGCCGAATGTCATGTTGATAATTGCCTACTTCGAATTTTCAGTTTCGCCGTTCTCGGCTGATTTCTTGGCTTGGAATACCCCAGCAATTAAAATGGGCAGGCAGTATGGGAAACGAGGCTCAACTAGAACAACAACGTCATGAAAAGAAACGTCAAATCTTGATTCACGTCCTAGGGCTGTGCGTGTGTAGCGTGATAGTGGCAACGTGCATTCCCCCTTTTTTTTTCATCTGTCAGCTCATTTACTTTGACGTTCAGCCTCAGGGCCTAGCAGACGCACAAGTGAGCGTCAGCCTCAGTAGTAAACTCTTGGTAGTGTCATTTTTGAAGTACGCTTACTAGTCTAATAAGTGATGTACACGCATATCAGTCGCCACCTCGACTTGCATCAGCATCAGCCAGGGACTGATCATGATGTCCTTGGTAAAAACGTTGTTCCACGTAACACTCCACTAACTACTTTCTCAGGGTCTCCCCTCGTATCCGTTGTCAGCATCACCCCCGGTGACACCAAGCCTTGCGTATAATCAACTTTCCTCACCAACATCTCAAAACATCATCTTACAAGACAAGCATCATATGTCAATTTTTTAACCGAGGTTTTTCCCAGAAGAACACACATCACATACACAAACATATATCTAACCCCTGGTCCCCTCGGTCACTTCGGTCCCCCTTCCCCTCTCCAATATAAAAAAAACCCCGGATGTAAGCGGTTTCGCAAGTTGTTGATGATCAACCCCTCCTCTACTCCCTATCCAGTTTAAATCCTCCCCCCAAGGGCAAAATAGAAAATACGTACTACTACGTAGTAGTACATTGTAGTGCAAAACGGTGGGATTTCCCCACTTGCACACATACACATACACACACACACACACACACACACGCACTCACTCACTCACTCTAACCCTCCGAAGTTAAAGATTCGGGGCAAAGAGAGAGAGAAAAAAATTGCAACGGACCACGTATGTCAAGTAGCGTTAGGCTGAGTAAGTAAGTAACAGTATTGTTTTGTCCAAATGCGTTCTTTTGCGCGAGGCAAGCGCCCACGCCCTGCGCTATGTACTTGTGTAGGCATTCCCCCTCCCCTCCCCCCCCCCCTCTTGGGGAGTGGAGGGGGCAAAAGCGGCTATGCCTTGTACTTGTGTTTTAAAGCAGGGTCCAGGTACTATACGTACATACATATACCATTTATTTGTTTATTTATTTTTCCCCAATACTCGGGGTTTCCTTGGTAATTTGGCATATTTAGTGCGTTTCCGTTTATGTGGCTTTCTTGCCTTGCGTTTCGGTTGCAAAGGAGGGGGGGGGGGAACGTACTTACACTAAACGGTGTGTGTGACTTGAGAGTACTGACACTTTTTTTTTCTTGCCAAAACACCCTGCTTGGATTAGTTTGGGTTGGGCTAGCAGGCCCGCGCCCGTAGGGGTCTCAAACCTAGATTTGGTAGATTCCGTATACGTTAGTAGTCATTAGGTTGCGGGCTTTCTTTAGTTTACTTTAACTTATTATGTTCGGACCCTTTTTTTTCTTTTTTGGCACTTAGTATTGCTTCACTAACTAAAGTAGAATAGGACAGTGTGGAGCTCGATGATGGTGATGATGACGACGATGACGATGATGATTATGTTTCGTGTTTGAAGCTTTTATTTCCTTTTTGGGTTTTCCGAGGTTTAGTGGGGATGGTGCACGGCGGTTAGTATAGGGCTGGTATTTCGGGGTTATTATTTATGGATGGGGTAAGTGCTTAGTATCTTAGGAACCTATCTTCTTCTAGGGTGTTTTGCGAGAGAAACAAGACCTATGTGTCATATTGGGCTGAGCATGTTATTCCAGCATTGCGCACTCTGTTCAAGTGAGGACGTGTCTTCGGCGACTTGCCCTGTCTTGTGATACTTGATCATGGCTCTTGCGCGAAGAGCGCAAGTTACATGCGACTACAAACATCAACGTTATCTACGCAAAGTGTCTCTAGTGGACTAGAAAACAAGTGCTGGGACGATCCGCCACTGTCATGCTGCCCGGCCCTTTCCGCTACCCCTCCCATGCTACTACCTCCCAGCCAGGCCGAGACTGAGATCAACAAAGGGACAAGAAATTACCACACTAAACAACACATCCCGCATCAAACCTGACCCCAGCTTCCCATTTCCACGTGACCCGACCCTCTTGAGTACTCACTCGCCTGGGATCACCCCTAACCCTGTCCAAACCCCACTCTCATAGTGCTTACCCTGTACTTATGGCCCTCCATACCCTCCCTCCCGACCGGCGCATTTCCTGTCTTTCTGCCGAACAGGCCGGACCCTTTTTTCTCACTGCCTTCTTACCGATCTTCGCCCTTCCCGCGCGCCCTCTCGCGCCAGGGCGTAATACGGGAAGACTGTGGGGAGTCGACTAGTGTGTCAGGTGGGGAAGGGGAGAAAGAGGGAGAAAGAGAAGGGTGAGCACTAGAGATGAGGTAATCACCGACGTGGGAACTTGCCGAGCCGGACGCGCGCGCGTGTGTGTGTGTGTGTGTGTGTGTGTGTGTGAGAGAGAGAGAGAGAGAGAGGGTGTGTGAGCGTGGTAGGATGGCTTGTTGTGGTACAAATTAGGGTTTCCTGTGAAGCTGTACGTTAAAAGGCATACTAAGGAATGTTACCGGCGGTGGCGGATGTGGGTGTGCGCATGATTTTGCATCGCAACGTGCTGGTTTGCTGGGGGTTAGGCATCGTCGGGTCGTTTTTTGGCTGAGTCAAAGTTTGCCCTTTTTCCTGGATGCCATGCAACCTGTGTTTTGTATGAGGAGGCAAGTATTGGCATGGGAAGGGGGAGGGGGGTTGTCTGGCGTGTGTATGTAAGACGGGTTACAAAGTTCATTTGTCTTGGTCCTGATTCGCTGGGCACTCAGCCAGAAAATCAAAATTCGACTTAATTCCACTCTTTTTTGTTAAGTTGCTGGCTCTGGTTCGTAGGTTTAGTTCGGAAGTTAAAGTAGCCTCCGTACTATTGATGAATCATGTATACATGTGTATGTGTGTGCATAGCATGTACATATTTCAAGGTTTCAAACTCTACCATTGTCGTCTCGGCATACTTAGTCTGGCCAATCGCGTGGTATGCCGTCTTTGGGTCACGCCTTTCCTCTTTAGTATATACTTACTCTGTTCTGAGGTGAGAGAACAGCGAGACGAGTCATGTCTGTTATTGTGGCTGAACAAAGTTTACCGGTAGTTGTGTAGTGACCATGGTTGATTCAAGGATACTAACTATATTTTTTTTTTCTGATTTCCAAGCACACACAACTCGAACTAATTCGATAGTAGATTATAGTCACAGCCCTGCATGAACCTTTCAGTTTTATTTTTTTTTTTAAGTTTCAGATGGAGGGCGCACTGGGCATTCCAGGTGCGAGATGAGATTTTGACAGATCGGGCAAACTTCTTTCCGTGCACTAGATTATTCAAGGATATGCTCTACGTATGTACGTAAGAAACGGTGCTTACGCGCTAAGTTATCCTCGGATCTTTTCCGCATCTCAAAAACCAGCTCCTCAAGAGCTGATTTACCCCAAACGATTAACAAGATTCTCACGACCTGGTATCGCTCGAATAAGCCCGACGCATTGCGAAAGCGCACTCCTTGCCTCGTACTTGCGCCATAATAACTCGACATCACCTGACTAGATCCGGATCAAGATGTACCAGCTGAAGGAGCAAACTTACACATTGATTATCCTGGTTAACCATGTGCTCATAGTAGTTCAGTGTTGTGGGCAACGTGCCGTCCCATGTGTTCGCATATGCGCGGGCCCAGTGTTCTCGAGTCGCAAAATGCCCGTCTGACAACGCAAGTACACTTTCTTCTTCATCCCCCCCCCCGGCCAACAGCAATAACTCTTATCATAAGTCTCCACATTCATGGATCCTGAACTTGGAGGGACGAGGTTCCCATACCTTTAATTGCGTCAATTTACACGTACAGCAATATGGCACAAGCGAGGATGGTAAGACAGCCTCGTTGAATACAAACATGACTCGAAAGTCGGAGAATAGAGCCAGTCCAATTGGGACAGCTCTTCGTAGTGCATTCACAAACAGGGAACAGAATATCAGTGACATACCTGTCGCGTCTTGTTCGTCCCCAAAACCAGGCTCACCGCGTTCTGGCTGACGGCAGACACGGTAGATGCAAAGAGTTGCAGCATCCCTTGGACGCCTGATAAGCGGGTCGAAAAAGAGTGGAGAGCCGGCCTCTCCGACAAGAGATCCATCTGCGCCTTTTGTTGCGTTTGCCCTATGGTAGGGCTAGGTGCCACAGATATGCATTTTCTGGTGTCTTGCCATGTGTTCATGGTAGGTCCATACTTTTTTAGGAAGGTGACAAGACCCAACTATCCTTTCCTCCGATAGGGCTGGTTAGGCCAGCATCGTATGCACGATTTATCAACTACTTCTTTGGTTGTGCGGAAATGGAACGGTAAGAAGCCGCACGCTGTGTATGATTCATCGAATGATGTGGTGTCTTACTATGTAATAGTAAGCCCGCGCGGGACGATGCTGACCCGCTGGGTGTTCTAGCGAAAGTTCATCATGTTTGCCTTCCGTTCGTCGTAGCAGATAAGCTTTTTCATGTCATAGTTTTAATCATACCGTACAATGAGCTGACCGTCGTCAGCTCAAGTATGCGCGTTCAAGATATGGTACTCCAATTCTGGATGCGGAGACGGGCTGTGTTACTGCATAAGCGTCAACTTTCGACAAAACGGTAGACAGCTGAAACATGGCTTGGAATAACATGCAAGGCGACGCATATGTAGGGCTGACTGGTCGATCATGACTTCGGTTCATGAGCGGCCCTGCCTCCGTAATACTTTGTGTCATGAGAATAGTATCAGTGGATGGCGCCCAAGGATAGCACCTTGCGCATGTGGAAACTACCGTAACCAAATGCTACCATGGAGCATGGGTAGTATCCAAAAGGTGCTTCATCTGAGGATGTATACTTACGTGTCTTTGCAGCTACTGCGTCATGCCTCATACTATGCGTCTATTAGAGAAGTCTCCCCGGGCTGGGAACTGCCAAGAGACGCATCAACTACCGATCGCATGGAAATGGACGATCCTAGGAGCGAACATCTATCCCGTGACTCGGCAATTGTAGTATCAATGTACGCCGGGATGCAAGTGGGCTGGATGCTGGGTAACTATTTGTTCGTACACGGCTGGTATGCAATATCATCTTGGCCCTACGGATAGTAGCTTCAATGGCCGAATCACATAACATCACCAACTGGAGTGGTACATGATTGCGCAGCTCGTGTTATGACTTACAAATAGTGGGGACTTGCATGCGTATAGCAAGATTCGATGTAGTATGATTGGTGCAGTCCGATGAGGGCATGCGTATGGCTACCGCGTCAAGCGCATGGGATTTAGGCAATGATCAAAGGTGAAATCAGCGAATCGCATTTTTGTTTTCATCAATGCAGATAGTCCCGAGAACAGTATGTTTCCAGATCCATTTGCTACTTTAGGGCGTGATTAAGTACCATGTATGAGGGAGCAGTTCCTATCAGCTACCTGGTAAACAAGGATAGGATAAGAGAGTTATACACATAAGTTTTGCCCACGAAACATGACGCATGAATTTCAATTTTCATTAGAATATTTCTGCGAACTTGGATCGATGGGTCCTCGGCGAAATACATGCAAAGAGCGATGTCATTCTTGGTGGATGCGAGGCTCTATGACTCCGGAATGACCACGAATTATTCCGTCAGCAGACGTTCAAGCACCCAAGATCCAGATGAATGGTATACCAAAACAGTTCAATATGCACGACACGTGTGAATTTCAGTAAGCCTGGCATTCTATACAGCCACTAGTTGCTGACCGCATCGTATGCGAAGGATCGATGACTGGCAGCAGTCAGCCCTCCCAAAGTCCGCTAGATGCACTCCCCCCCCACCCCCACCTATGAACTATAGATACGAGAAGGATTCTATACAGATGAAGCACAGCTGATAGCTGAGGCATTGCTGTTGTATTACTGCTGTCCCCAATGTGGCTGACCATGACACGCGACTAAGGATTACCACTAGGTACCGATGGGAAATTCTTAGGGTCATTTAGCCGTTCGCGGTTTCTTTTGGCGATTTCGGCATTTCGGAGTTTGTCCAACCTCATCTGGTAGAAGCTTCTGCGTAACGTCAGTATAATGGGGAAAGTGTCCCGAGACAGGCGCACTTGTTTAGTTGGAATATACGAGGACTGAGCTCGGTTTGAGTCTTCTCTTTTGTCTTTGAGAGCTCTTTGATCTTTATTGGCAGTTAGTACAAGGAGTTGAGATTCTCTGATTATACTGGCCTTGTCTTCTTTGGCTTTCTCATCCTGTTTGTCTTCGTCTTCTTCCTTGGCCTTTTCTTCCTTCTCTTTCTCCTTATCCTTTTCCTTGTCCTTTGATTTTCTCTTTTCACGTTTGAGTTGCTGTTTCTGTTCATACTCCTTTTTAACAGCTTCGATCTCGCGATCTAACTCTTCTTGCTTTTTCTGATCCGCAACCCTCTTAGCCTCCTCAGCCTCTGGCTGACAGAACCCTCGATCAGTCAAGTGTCCAGCACAGATGTAGAAAAAGTCCTGAAATAAAATGAGCACCTAGATCCCTTTTTCAGAGTCATAACGCACCTTATTGGAGGGTGTAATCAGGACACTTGTGGATGGTTTATAGCATATCCAACAAGCTTTGGCGGCGTTGTCCGCAACGCGGCGGAGATGCCACAAATTCTCCATTGGTTTGTTTCAGTTTAGAACTTTCCGCCTTGTATGTTGTTTAGGGTACCGGAAGTACACAGTGCACAGGTAAACCCCTTGGGTCGTATGAGGCGGATATCGATGCCTGCAATGCTGGCTCAGGCTAAATTTCTTCCGCTATTCAATTGTTATGAAGATATCAAGTTCACTCATACATAAGTGTAATGTCTTGCTATGGTTATTGCATGTGCGTAGAGATGCTCGGTGGTGATGAAGTGGCTGAGCAAGATTGAGAGATGCAAAGGTTCAAACTAGGCTTAAAACGGATTAGTATTATACATTGCAGGCAACTGTGACCATTCCTCATTCTCCTCTCCAACAGTTTTTTTGACTCATGTTTTCGACGACTGTACGGGTATATGGTCTACGAAAACTGTTTAGGGACACAATTCAATCAACACAGATACGTCTAGTCCCTAGCATTATAAAGCTGTCGAACAACTTTTCAAGTGCGTCATTTTAACACGCTTCAACATCTAGTTTTCCTAGTTAACACTCTCATTAGACAATTATCCTCTCTCTCTAAAATCCCATCGGCAATACAACAAGATGGCTGCTTCGACACAACTAAAGTACATTGATGTTAGTCCACATTTCACGCCTTTACCCCGCGCCAAACTTCTAACCGCGAAATCTAGATCGGTATCAACCTCACCGATCCCATCTTCAGGGGTGAATACCACGGCACCCAACGTCACGAAAATGATTTTGAAGATGTTCTCCAGAGAGCGGTCGGCGCTGGTTGCAAGAAGTTCATGGTAACAGGATCTGATCTCGAAGAATCAAAGCACGCTATCGGGATAGCAAAAGCTCACCCAGGGCTTTGCTATGCTACTGTAGGCGTACATCCTTGCTCGGCAAACCATTTTGACAAACATCCCGGCGGTGCATCAGAGCTTCTCTCCGCGCTTAAAACCCTGGCTATTGAAGCCAAGGAAACAGGTCATGCAGTTGCTTTTGGAGAGATAGGCCTCGATTACGACCGACTTTTTCTGACGGCCAAGGAGCCACAGCTCAAGTACTTTGAGGCACAACTGGAGATTGCGGTTGAAGTTCAGTTACCGCTTTTCCTACACTCGCGTGCTGCGAGTGAGGACTTTGAGAGATTATTGACTGCGAAGCTTGACCAGCTACCCAAGAGAGGTCTGGTACACAGCTTCACTGGAACTGCAGAAGAGATGCAGCGTCTTGTGGATCTAGGCTTTGATATTGGTGTTAACGGCTGCAGCATGAAGAGTATGTATTTCTGTCATCTCCTATGTTGGTATGTTTACCAACACTGACTAACGTTTCTGCTTAGCGGATGAGAATATTGCAGTCGTAAAACAGATACCGCTCGAGCGTTTGCAGATTGAAACAGATGGACCATGGTGTGAGATGCGGCCCAGTCACGCATCAGCCAAGTTTCTTACAGACGCCCCACCTTTACCAAAGGCAGTCAAGAAGGAGAAATGGGCCAAAGGTATGATGGTAAAGGGGCGAAACGAACCAGCTACAATTCCACATGTCGCGCATGCCATTGCAAAGATTAAGGAAATCAGCGTGGAGGAGGTTTGTGATGCGTAAGTATTGTTTGTATCCTTGGTGCACAGAAGGAGTAACTAATGAGAGTGTAGTGCTTGGAAGAACTCAGTCAAGATGTTTGGGTTAGGTGAGGCGGTGTAATACCAAAATACCGCCATATATGGGGTCGATTTGGTGTACGCAATGCATATAGAAGATCGATTTATACAGAAGGGATGTATGCCCCAAACTCGCATGTACAAAGACTGCAAAATAGACCACGCCAAACCAGCCACATCTTACTTCCTGTACCACATCCTGGTGATCTTGGTATGCCTCATCTTCTTCTGAAGCTGGAAGACACCGTACATGAGTGCCTCGGCGGTTGGCGGGCAGCCAGGTACGTAGATATCTACAGGTACAACACGGTCGCATCCTCTTGTGACTGAGTAACTGTAGTGGTAGTATCCTCCTCCGTTTGCGCAACTGCCCATGGAAATGACCCATCGGGGGTCAGGCATCTGGTCATAGACCTGTCGCAGCGCTGGTGCCATCTTGTTGGTGAGGGTTCCGGCTACGATCATGACGTCGGACTGTCGAGGAGAGGCACGGAAAATGATACCGAGACGATCCTGGTCGTATCGTGGAGTAGACAAGTGCATCATCTCGACGGCGCAGCATGCAAGGCCGAAAGTCATGGGCCAGAGCGAGCTCTGACGGGCCCAGTTGGCTACTTGGTCAAGTGTTGTCCTGTTGACGCAAGTCAATTAATGTCCTTTACTGCGCTTTTTGCCTCCGATTTCAATATTCAAGAGAAATCCAGAGAGAAAACACATACAATGCATATTGCATAGCACCCTTCTTTCCCTCCTGACTTGGCAAGGGAACCTCAACTCGCGCTGACTTCATCGGTGGCGGTGTTCCGGGGTTGCCGGGAATGGTGGCAGGCGACTTCATGGTCGTCGCCTTGTTGGGCGAGCTCGAGGATAAAAAGGCTACGCTTCCGGCGCGGAATGGCATCAAGGCCGTCGCGGGTTTGGCTGTCCATGGAGTCAGTTTGGCGGGACCGGGAGCTTTTTCGGGCGTGCGGCGACAAACCTCGCAGAGCCATTGAGGCAGCAGACCTTGTCGTCGAAAGCATGTTTGCGACAGACAGTAAGGAAAGGCGTGGACGAAGGAGTGGAGAGGCGAGATGTGGGGTGGCGGTTGAGGGAGTCGCGAAGTTGATCGATGAGGTAGGTGCATCAAAATGCTTGGCGGAAATCGATTAGTCGTTGGTTTTGGCGCCGTCTGATAGGCCGGCCAACGATCACTCCTTCGCCAACACCCTTTCGGACTACTTCGGCCAGACTACTCCGCATCTACATCCAGGGTGCTTGAAGGCTGCCTTAGTCTTTTGATATCACACGAAATATGTCAGGCCGGGTAGGTGATTGATGCGGTCAGGGTTCAGAGTATGTGTTGACTGTGTCTAGGTCCCGTCCATTGCTTGCATTGGCGTTGTCGGAAAACACGTGAGTACCTCATCACTTACTTACTCCTGACCTGTTCCTATACTGAGTATTGGCAAAGAACAATCCATTGCACATTTCACTCTTTCCGGCAGAAGAGCGTGCACCACTGGAATTCCAGTTTCTTCTTTCGTCATGTCTAGATATCTTTGAGGCTCGCCTACCGCATAAGACAGCAGACCAGGATTTTGGTCTTCTGCAAGCTGTCGACGAGAGGTTAGCCATGTACGGCTGGCTCACCAACACCGGCATCAAATTCATCATTGTCGTGGATATGGAGGGAAAGCCAGCCGACCCTCTCGACAACAAATCTGCGGCTGCTGTTGGGCTGCGAGATGCGGACATGAAACCTGTAAGCCCGATACTCTACAATGAAACAATCTTCTGACCTTCTCTAGGCATTCAGAGCATTGCAGACGGCGTACATAAAGCTGCTCAGAAATCCGTAAGTGAAGATGCGGGGCAGCTGATGAGTTGCGACCGTTAACAGCAACGCCTAGGTTCTACGACCCTGATGAACATTCTCCAATCACTACCAACTCAGAGCAAAGGATTGGCTCAACGCAGATCACAAGCCGCAAGTTTATTCAAGAAGTCAAACGAATTGCTGATGCATGGTCTCCGGGTGTCACGAGTATTTAAGCAATTTCCACTTGGGGTTACCATGATACCACATTTCGTTTACAGGCGTTAGAATCAAACCGCTTTGACCCTGTTCCTTTTGTTTGTGGACTGGCCTTTTCCATGTCCCTTGTCCGATGTTGCGACCAGTTCATGTATCGGCACTTCCCAAAAGCGCTAGCGCCGATTGCAGTATAGTCCAATGTGAGAGCAGATCACCTCGGCCATTTGATATCGTCCTCAGGACGATGCGACACAAGTTCTACTTCCTCAAACCAATGACTACCAATGTCGTCCACCGGTGTTGCGATCACCAACCCCTTGGTGCTATATCGCAGTCTCATCGCTACGCAGAAGATCCGACCTGATCCCGCTCAGCATCGCCTCGGTATGACGTCTACCATTTTGGACCCGCCAAGGACATTGTACATGGACTAACTGTGACCATCAGCCTTGCACTTACAGAAACTCTATGATCGACTGATTGACTATGAACCGACTGTAGAGTATTCGAAACGACTGCAGCAACTTTCCCGGGCAGTTGATTCAGATCAAAATGCTGCTGCTGCTGTCGCCCCAACAGATACGCACGCCAACCGCTTTGGCAGAAGGGGCATATGGACGTCGCTACTTGCTGAGAAAGAGAAGAGAGATTCAGTAGCCTTGACTCGTGTTCTAACAAGTCATGACGAGGCCATGCAACTCCAGAGTCCCAAAGGACTCATGCTGCACGGTGAAGTTGGAACTGGCAAATCGATGCGTAAGATTGGAGACAACATTCTGTAGATTTGAAGGCTCACTTCTTCTTTAGTTATCGACTTGTTTCAAGAGTGCCTGCCCAATCGCAAGAAGCGGCGTTGGCACTTCAATACTTTCATGCTCGATACCATCTCCCGACTTGAGCAACTTCGAATATCCAGGTCATTAGTAGCCGGCCCAGGAGCACCCAACGACGAATATTCGTTGCTTCTAGTTGCACGCGATCTCATAGAGAAGTCGCCGATTCTATTCCTAGATGAATTTCAACTTCCAGATCGTGCCGCGAGCAAGATTTTGTCTAACCTTATGACGTCTTTCTTCCAGCTCGGCGGCGTCCTCATTGCAACTAGCAACCGCATGCCAGAAGAGCTTGCTAAAGCTGCAGGAATGGAGTTCTCACGACCAGTGCACCGTCTTAGTCGACTAGGCTGGGGTATGACTAAGAGTTCGTACATAAGGAGGGATGATGGAGCGGGGCAGCTGGGCGAGTTTTCGGCGTTCCTAGAAGTGCTAAGAGCGAGGTGTGAGGTCTGGGAAATGGAAGGAAAGAAGGATTATCGAAAGCTGGAATCAGAAGACGTAAAGGAGACTTCTGAGCGGAGGGACAGTGCACAAGTTCTCATGTCAGAGACTCTGGATGCTATTGATTCGGCCGCGACTTTGACTGCTACTGGCGCAATGAGTACAGCAGAGGATTCTGCATCGACCGAAACTGCATCCTCTCTACCGAAGAACTATCTCATCCAGCCTCAAACCGCAGAAACCATGATCGAATTCGGCGAAGCTTTCAACTCCCTGGTTGAGCAGGCAACACGCCACGAATACCCGATTCCCTGGGCTCCCGCCACCTTAACTGTATACAACCGCGCTCTCCATGTCCCCGCACAGTACAATGGCGTAGCTTTCTTCACCTTTGCTGAGCTATGTGGTGCCGTACTCGGTCCCGCAGACTACATTACACTCGCATCTACATACCACACCTTCATCATCACCGATGTACCTATCATGGGTCTACTCATGAAAAGCGAAGCCAGGCGCCTCATCACCTTGCTTGACGCCATGTACGAAGCCCGCTGTAGACTAATGATTACCGCTGCTGCAGGCCCAGATAAAATATTCTTTCCCGTACGCCCACCTTCTGCTTCAGCAACAGACGGAGAAACGCAAGAAACCGACGCCGTTCACCCCGAAACCTACTCTGAAATCTACCAAGACCTCAACTCTCCCTTTCGCCCAAACATCTCGTCTTACGCTGGCTCTACGCACAACATGCTATCTGACGACGCTCTCGAAGATGACCCGCCAAACCGCATGCGCAGACCAGGTTCTTCGTACACGGATGAGCGCCGCTTGGGTCCTGGATCCCCCGACTTTGCGAATATAGGCGGACTAACGGGTGAAGACGAGAAGTTCGCAGTTAAGAGAGCTGAAAGCAGGATTTACGAAATGTGCTCGGGAAAATGGTGGGATCGTGCTGCTGATGTTGAAGCGGTAGATTGGTGGCGCCCACTTCCACTGGAGAATCGGCATTGGGAACACCGCGTTTCGTCGCCTGCTGCTTCTCCTGCTGGGCCGACATCGAATACCTTACCGCCGAATACCAAGGTCTTGTCTGCAGAAGAGCGTGAGAGGGATAGGCAGAGGGAGATGGAGGATATGTTTAAGCATGGGGCTAGTCCGTTCCGGGTGCATCCTGATGCGCCGCCAAAGTTTAGCTGGACGCATGCGTGGGGGATGGTGAGGTGGGGAAAGAAAGCTGGGGCTTGGGGGAAGGGAGTAGAGGGCTTGGGAGAGAAGGCGAAGGAGAAGGTGGATGAGGGTGTAGAAGACACGAAGAAGAACAAGAACAAAGACGCATAGAAGATTAGATGGGTCTTGTTTGCTAAATGTTTCTAAGATACAGGTGCAACTCTTTTTTTTCGATTCGTAAAATCCATACAACATGTTCCAGTCATTCAAACCAAGGATCTAGTCACTGGATCTCGCCCTTGTTGACAACAAATGCCTCGAGCGCACTAATGGCGCTCCACAGCCTATTCTCCGCCTCCTTGAATACGACACTCCTCGGTCCATAAAAGACTTCGTCAGCTACCTCCTCTGGGTGACGGGGCAGGCAGTGCATGAAGCTCCAATTGTCCTTTGCACCGCCACGCTTGGCCAGATCCGATGTGATTTGGAAGCCCTCGAATGCCTTGAGACGTTTTGCGGTTTCTTCTTCCTGGCCCATGGATACCCAAGTATCTGTCACGAGAATGTCTGCGTTCTTGATGGCTTCCTCGGGTGTATTTGTTTCCAGGAGCTTTCCAGCACGAGGAGAGGTTTGCGCAGCGTGGGAGATGACCTCGCGCATAGACTGGGGGATCTCGTAGCCTGGTGGTGTTGCGACAGCCATGTCGATGCCCAGCTTGGTAGCGCCAATAGCCAGGTCAAACAAGACGTTGTTTGCATCACCTATCCATGTGATCTTGAGACCCTCGAGACCGAGCGAAGTGGCGGATGTTGAGGGGTAGATTTCGGAAACGGTAAGCATGTCGGCGATGATTTGGAGGGGATGGTAGAGGTCAGAGAGGGCGTTGATGACGGGCACACTCGAGTGCTTTGCGAGGTCTGCAACATCGGAGTGGGGGCCCACGCGGGCAACAATGGCGGCAGTCATGCTGGAGAGGACGAGGGAGGTGTCGTAGAGAGATTCGTTGACCTATTCATCTTGAAGTCAGCGGACATATGTGGGAATCGCGGGTTTGGTAGGCAGGCCATACACCCAGCTGTATGTCGTCTTTTCCAAGGAACATGGGCGAGCCGCCAAATGCTGCAATGGCGCCTTCCGTTGATATCCTGGTGCGCGTGCTCCGCTTGCTGAAAGTCATGGCAACGGTGCGGCCAGCCAGTGCCCCGCGCATGGAGTGAGGGACTTCTCCTGTCTGCTTAATGGTAGTCTTGTGGCGCTGTGCATTCTGGACAAGGGTAGTGAGCTCAGCGGGTGTGAGGTCAGCTATGGAGAGGAGATGTCGCGGCGCAAAGGGCGATGTGGGAGGCGTTGCTGGCGAGGCCGACGAGTAGCAGCGGCGCAAGCTTCGCAGAGCCGCGGTTGTAGGGCGGAAAGTGGGCATGGTGTATCAATTGCAGTGCAGGAAGTTAGAGCAGGCGGTCTGGGGATTTTAAAGCCCGCAATTGCAGCGAAAGAGTCACAGAAGGCACAGTACACCAGAGGACCGATATAATGTTTGAAGACGCTAACATTCTGACGCATGACAGTGGGGATGACCAGAAATGCTGGGGTCGGAAGGGGCTAGCGGGCGCGGCAGACAGGCACACGTCGGCCCGCCACCCTGCTGCGCTGTGTGTGGATGTGGGCGCGTGTGGCTGAGTAGATGATGACGAGACCATGAACACCATCTCGTCCCGTCCCTTGGACTTGGACGTGGACTCGACATCTTTCTCTCCGTCCACCCTCTGCCCAACATGGCTCTCGCCTGGACTCCCCTACGGCTGAAGATGGAGAACCCCGATGAGGCGTGGGGCTCCAACTCCTCCAACAACAACGATAACAACGATAACAACGACAACACCATTACCGCCGATGCCAACACTCGCACCCCCAGTTCGCGACCCGCCTCGCGCAGGTCTGCCCGCTCGTCACGCTCAGCACGATCAGCAAGATCAGTCCGCTCGCAGCAGTCGAGCAGGACCACCGAAGAGACACCCCTGCTGTCCCAGCAGGACGTAGACGATGACCACGACGACCATGACGAAGACTGCGACGAGACCACGCCGGCGACGCGCTCACTGCGCCAGTCGCTATGCGGCTCTGATAGGGGTGGTAACTCCAAAGGCTCGCTGTGGAAGAAGCGCTGGCCGAGCATACTGGCCCTCATCACCCTCTGTCTGCTCGTCATCTTCATCATGCTCGGCTTTCTTGCCAAAGAGAGCATCGAGGAGTACTCGATGCAGGCTGCCACCTTCAAGCCCACCAAGCTCTCCATGGATGGCTTGACCAGCCATGGCGCAAAGATCCACATTCAAGGAGACTTTAGCATGGACGCGTCAAAGGTCAAGAAGCAGAGCGTGCGCAACCTCGGCCGCTTCGGCACATGGGTTGCCCACGAGGCTGAGACGGGCCCCTTCGACGCTCAAATCTACCTGCCCGAGTATGGCAACATTCTGGTCGGCACCGCCAAGCTTCCAGGCGTCAAGGTGGATATCAGGAACGGACACACCACACATGTAGCCTTCGATGCCACTGTGCAGCCAGGATCTCTTGACGGCATTCGCAACATTGCCGAAGACTGGATCGATGGCCGGCTGGGACAGATACGGCTCAAGGCAAAGGCACTGGTCCCGCTCAAGTCAGGCTTGATCAACATTGGCAAGCAGCTTGTTGAGCAATCTGTAGTCTTCCAGGGTGGCGATATCCCCGCCCTTCCACATTACAACATCACAAAGCTCAATCTCGGCGAGGCCAAGGATGGCCACAAGGGTCTCGCTGCAGACGCAACCATAGTCGTCGAAAACGACTTCCCTGTTGACATTACGCTCCCATCCGTGGCTGTCGACGTGGGCATTCAAGGCTGCTCGGCTGACACATTTCTCATGGTCGGAACTGCCCAGACCGGCCAGCTCCATGTCAAGCCAAATTCAGATGTCAAGGTCGATGTCAACGGCAATGTCGAGAAAATTTCCAATCTCGTGACCGAAGTATGTCCCAACACCGCCAAATCACCGCTCGATGCTTTCCTGGGCGACTATATGAAAGGCGAGGATGCGACCATCTACATCAACTGCTGCAAGTTCCCAGACCCAGCCGCACCCGATTGGGCTCGTGATCTTTTGAAAGACATCATTGTGCCTGTACCATTCGCTGGAAAATCCATGGGCAACCTCATCAAAAACTTTTCTCTTGCAGACATGCATTTCAGTCTGCCCAACCCATTTGCCGAGCCGGACACACCCGAGGCTGCGCCCAAGATTTCCGGCATCGTCAACGTCGACATTGGCTTACCCAACGAGATGAACTTCCCTATCGATGTTACTCAAGTCAAAGCTGACGCCGACATTTTCTATCACAAGAAGATACTTGGAAAGCTGAACCTTGAAAAATGGCAAAAGGCAAACTCGACGCGCGTCGAGGCCCATGGCTCCGAGGGACCTTCTCTCCTGGTTCAGTCCGTCATCAAAGACGCACCCATTAGAATTGTAGACGACGATCTGTTTAGCGAGGTTGTACAGGCTCTTCTCTTTGGCGGCAAGTCCGTCTTGATGGATCTCAAGGCAGCCGTCAGTGTTGGTGTGGACACACCTATGGGTAAACTTGCCGTGCGAGGCATTCCAGCGCAAGGAGTCGTACCAGTCAAACGTTCGTAGCCAGTTCGTGATCCACGTTTGACTATTTGACCTCCAACAAGCTAACTTTTTGTGTCCAGCAATCCGTCATGGCAACGACAGTGAGCCCAGTCATGGTGATAGCAAAGAGAGTGCGCTCAATGTCAAAGTTGGCAACATGGCAATCATCGACACTTCGCCAACTTCTCTTACCATCACAGCCATGGTCAATTTCACTAACCCTACCAACTACTCGGCTACAGTTCCTTACTTCAACGTCAATGTCCTGGCTAATGGTTCACACATTGGCAGTGCAACGGTAAAGGACATGGAAGTGGTTCCCGGTAACAATACCAACCATCTCGTATCTCTTCATTGGGACCCCTATGAGTATGGTGGCCACAAAGGAAAAGAGATTGGCGCAGAACTACTCTCTCAGTACATCTCGGGTAGGGCCGGATGAGCATACCATGGCACACGTAGCATACTAATACGAAAACAGGCTTGAATACATCCATAACCGTCCAAGCACACGAACAGTCTGTGCCAGCCGCACCATATATTGGCCGTCTCCTCTCACAATTTCCCATTGAACGTCCTATGCCGCACTTGGCTACTCCCAAGAAGCCATCTGATGGAGATGAGGATGAAGATCCAGATGACGATGGAAAATCGCACTTTATCCGCAGCACAACGATGCATCTCATCAGCAGCACGGCAGTTTTCACTCTGGCTTCGCCATTCCGCTCCACCACGTTGTACATCACCAAGATGAACGCAACAGCTTACCACGATGGCCATGTGGCTGGCAAGATCCTATACGACCTGCCTTTTGCCGTACCGCCGGGTCTGTCCGAGTCTCCGCATTTGCCCGTCGACTGGTCTTTTGGCAGCTTGGGCTATGATGCGATTAAGAAGGCGCTTGGCGGGCAGCTCAAACTCAGCGCATTTGCCTATGTAGGTGTACGGATTGGCGAGTGGAGAGAAAATGTTTGGTTCAAGGGCGGTAAGATTGGTGCCAATGTTAGACTTTGAGTTTACTTGGCTTGAAGGTGCTGGACACACGTTTCGATTCTTTCGTTTTTGTAGAAACCCCCTCTGGATACAAGGAAGAGAACTGTACGCCTGGATGCGTTTGCGTGTTTTACAACTGAGAAGAGAAGGGTTGGAATTGTACTGGTAGGGAGAGGGGTGGGCTGGCAACTTGGCGTTTTACGGATGGAATGGGTTATGTCTATCAAATTGACTAAGGCACATATGTCAGGCATTATGGAATATGAAGATTCACTCATACAAGACGGGCAACGGAATGACTATGGTAAAGGTTCCGGCACTTGCGTTTCTTGCTCTCTTTGGGAGAGGGAACAGAAACGGCTTCACATTGCAACATGGGTCTCGCAGCTAAGGCGGTTGTCGGCTGCTTTGGCGCAATTGGCTCCTGGACAAGTTAGTGCCACGTCGGCCATGCATCTCCAGCACGACTCGAGTATACTGCAGGACAAAGCTCAAAGCTGTGTACACGCAGGTCTAGACAAAGTTTC